TCATGGAACACGCTTGCCGCTGTGTCTTTGCCAGATCCTGCATGTCTAGTATTATTTACAGTGCTGAGGGCTGCTTGTACTTTCCTTGGTTCATTTGCCAGATTATATTTGTTATATGATCATGTTTTTAATTTAGTCCCCATGCATCCACAAATCAGTCATATTGGTTTGCTGCATTTTTCTCTCCCCCCCACCGGTAATTATTTTGCACTAATTTTTAGCAAAATGTGAGAATCATGTGTTCGTCTCGTGACTTTATGCCTATATAGTATTACTTTTTTTCTTTTGCTACAGAGAATTTTGCCAATCTTCCAAATGTTAACCATGGAATTGCTGCAGATGCCATATTTCCTGTTTCGTTTTTGTTTAATTTCCTTTTTATATTGTTGTTTTGTTACACATGTCCACCTAACCGAGCAACTTGTGAAATGGACTATTGCTTTGCTTTCTTGTCATTTTACGTTGTGCTTTCCTGAATTTCAAACAAATTTATATAACATACAGGATATGAGAATACACTATACTGAAGAGATTGTGTTCTGGCTTTATTTCCTGATTTAGATTACAGAAGTACAGAATGTAACTGTCAAAACAACAGGTGCGGATTCTTCCTGGTACCGAGAAATCATTGAATTTGCATCTCTGAAATGTTTTAAAGGCACAGACCACCTCGGGGGGGGGGGGGGGGGGTGGGGGGGGAATACATGCACCTACATTGATAAAGGGAAAACAAAGTTCATTTATTCACTTTTGCATTTAGGCCGGCAGGACATTGCAACAATGGTCAGTGCATGAAGTCTGCAATGGAGAAGATACTGGTCTCCAACCTGCGGCCCTTTGCTTGCCTTTATGTGGGGCACTTTTCTTCCGACTGATACAAGACACCATTCTTCTTACGGACGCCAACAGAGGAGTATCATTCCTGCCACTGACAACAATGAGACACTATTCCTCCCACTGACACCAATGATGGGGCACTATTCCTCCCACCAATACCAGTGATGGGGCACTATTCCTCCCACCGATACCAATGATGGGGCACTATTCCTCCCACCGATACCAATGATGGGGCACTATTCCTCCCACCGATACCAATGATGGGGCACTATTCCTCCCACCGATACCAATGATGGGGGCACTATTCCTCCTACTGACACCAATGATGGGGCACTATTCCCCCCACTGATTCCAATGATGGGGCACTATTCCTCCCACTGATTCCAATGATGGGGCACTATTCCTCCCACTGATACCAATGATGGGGCACTATTCCTTCCACTGACATCAACAAAGGGGCACTATTGCTCAAACTGACACACAATGGGGCACTATTTCTCCTACTTACACCAACAATAGGGCACTATTCCACCCTCTGACCCCAATGATGGGGCACTATTCCTCCCAATGACAACAATGATGGGGTGTTATTCCTCCCAGTGACACCAACAGTGGGACACCTATTCCTACCAGTGATATCAATGATGGCGCACTATTCCTCCCATTGACACCAACAAAGGGGCACTATTGCTCAAACTGACACACACAATGGGGCACTATTTCTCCTACTTATACCAATAGGGCACTATTCCACCCTCTGACCCCAATGATGGGGCACTATTCCTCCCAATGACAAGGTGTTATTCCTTCCACTAACACCAACAATGGGGCACTATTCATACCACTGATATCAAATATGGGGCACTATTCCTCCTACTGACACCAATGATACGGCACTACTCCTCCCACTGACACCAATGATAGGGCACTACTCCTCCCACTGACACCAATGATACGGCACTACTCCTCCCACTGACACCAATGATACGGCACTGTTCCTCTCTAGAATACCAAAGATGCATTGTTTACTCCCACTGATGCCAGGACAATTTCTACTCCCAATGGTCACAGTCCAGCCCCCCAAAGTCTGGAGTACAGTAAACTGGCCCTATGTTTAGGACGTTTGGAGACTCCTGCTGTAGACCATGGGTGCTCAACCTGTGGCCCTCCAGGCCCTACATATCCCATGAGGCATTGCAAGGCTGACAGTTTTAAGTATGACTCTCAAAGGCAGAGGAGTATGGGACTGTTGGTTCCGCAACAGCTGGAGGGCCACAGATTGAGCACCCAAGCTGTAGACTCTTCCCTTAGCCCCAGGTCTGTATAGAGATACAGACCTACAGTTATAGGGTTGGAGAAAGTAATCAATGGATTACAATGCAGCGACATCACCACATTTATACTTCACTGAGAACTACAAGTCCCTTTGCCATGGTGTCAGATGTGACTTTTTATTTTCCATTCACAGATCAGTGTGAATGGGAGAAGTAACTGTGCAGGGGGAGCCAAATTCAAAGAGAGTAGAATGCTGCACGGAGAAAAACACTAACCCAAACTTGTATCAAATAGAATACTACAAGCCCCCAAGCATTACATCTGTCACCAATCTACAGTCATGGCCGAAATTGTTGGCACCCTTGATATTTTTCCTGAAAATCAAGTATTTCACACAAAAAAGGTATTGCATTAACACATGTTTTTGCTATACACATGTTTATTCCCTTTGTATGTATTGGAACAAATATAAAACAGAGGCAGAAAAGCAAATATGACATAATGTCACACAAAACCCCAAAAATGGGCTGGACAAAAGTATTGGCACCCTTAACTTAATATTTGGTTGCACACCCTTTGGAAAACATAACTGAAAATCAGTCGCTTCAATCTAAACCATCAATAAGGACTTCTGACACCTCTCACCCATACTCACCCGGAATTTTGGACCACTCTTCCTTTGCAAACAGCTCCAGGTCTCTCTTATTGGAAGGACACCTTTTCCCAACAGCAATTTTAAGATCTCTCCACAGGTGTTCAATGGGATTTAGATCTGGGCTCATTGCTGGCCACTTCAGAACTCTCCAGCGCTTCTTTGCCATCCATTTCTGAGTGCTTTTTGACGTATGTTTGGGGTCATTGTCCTGCTGGAAGACCCAGGATCTTGGACGCAAACCCAGCTTTCTGACACTGGGCCCTACAGTGCGACCCAAAATCCTTTGGTAATCCTCAGATTTCATGATGCCTTGCACACAGTCAAGGCCACCCAGTGCCAGAGGCAGCAAAACAACCCCAAAACATCATTGAACCTCCACCATATTTTACCGTAGGTACTGGTGTTTGTTCTTTGTAGGCCTCATTCGTACATTCGTTTTCGGTAAACATAGGAATGATGTGCTTTACCGAAAAGCCTCTATCTTGGTCCTCATCTGTCCACAAGACGTTTTCCCAGAAGGCTTTTGGCTTACTCAAGTACATTTTGGCAAACTGTAGTCTTGCTTTTTTATGTCTCTGTGTCAGCAGTGGGGTCCTCCTGGGGTCTCCTGCCATAGCGTTTCATTTCATTTAAATGTCGACGGATAGTTCGCGCTGACACTGATGCTCCCTGAGCCTGCAGGACAGCTTGAATGTCTTTGGAACATGTTTGGGGCTGCTTATCCACCATCCGGACTATTCTGCGTTGCAATCTTTCATCAATTTTCCTCATCCGTCCACGACCAGGGAGATTAGCTACAGTGCCATGGGTTGCAAACTTCTTGATAATGTTGCGCACTGTGGACAAAGGCAAATCTAGTTCTCTGGAGATGGACTTGTAACCTTGAGATTGTTGATATTTTGCCACAATTTTGGTTCTCAGGTCCTCAGACAGTTCTCGTCTCCTCTTTCTGTTGTCCATGCTTAGTGTGTGGCACAGACAGACACACAATGCAAAAGGTTAAGTGAACGTCTCTCCTTTTTTATTGCTTTCAGGTGTGATTTCTATATTGCCCACAAACTGTTACTTGCCCCAGGTGAGTTTACAGGAGCATCACATGCTTGTAACATTCTTATTTATCCGCAGTTGTGAAAGGGTGCCAATACTTTTGTCCAGCCCATTTTTGGAGGTTTGTGTGACATTATGTCGAATTTGCTTTCTTTCCTTCACTCCCTTTTTTTGTTTTTGTCCCAATACACACAAAGGGAATAAACATGTGTATAGCAAAACATGTGTTAATGCAATACGTTTCGTGAGAAATACATGATTTCCTGGAGAAATATCAAGGGTGCCAACAATTTCGGCCATGACTGTAACTGGTTATACAGGGATGATGCCTGCAGCTACATGCATCATCCCAGTATTGGGTTTTTTCAGCTAGTGATGCTCAAAGCAATCCTAGCATCTAATTTAGCTGCTGGATTGCATTTACAGGTGCACTCTAGAAACTTCCAATGATGCGGCCGGCCTGTCATAGAGGCATGACAGGTACCCGCTCCCACTTCCGCAGAGTTGTCCTCCCCCCTCCCTCCCCGTAATCTTGTGGGACACGTGACAGGTCAGGCAACAGGACAGGCGATGAGAGATAGTCTCTGATTACCTCTATGGCCTTCTGGACAGGAACAACATCACTTCCGGATATACCGTATTTTTCGCTCTATAGATTTTACAGGAAAAAAAACATTCTGAACCAATGGACTGTGGACACAGCACAGGAGAGAAGGCCAGAGATCTGCGGACACAACACAGGAGAGGGCCAGAGACTGCGGACACAACACAGGAGAGGGCCAGAGACTGCGGACACAGCACAGGAGAGGGCCCAGAGACTGCGGACACAGCACAGGAGAGGCCAGAGACTGCGGTACACAGCACAGGAGAGGGACCAGAGACTGCGGACAACAGCACAGGAGAGGGCCAGAGACTGCGGACACAGCACAGGAGAGGGCCAGAGACTGCGGACCAGCACAGGGGAGGTCCCAGAGACTGCGGACACAGTACAGAGAGGGCCTAGAGACTGCGGCACAGCACTGCGGGACACAGTACAGGAGAGGGCCAGAGACTGCGGACACAGCACAGGAGACGGGACCAGAGACTGCGGACACAGCACAGGAGACGGCCAGAGACTGCGGACACAGCACAGGAGACGGCCAGAGACTGCGGACACAGCACAGGAGACGGCCAGCAGACTGCCAGAGACTGCGGACACAGCACAGGAGACGGCCAGAGACTGCGGACATACAGTCAGGTCCATAAATATTGGGACATCGACACAATTCTAACATTTTTGGCTCTATACACCACCACAATGGATTTGAAATGAAACAAACAAGATGAAACAAGACTGCCAGCTTTAATTTGAGGGTATTTACATCCAAATCAGGTGAACGGTGTAGGAATTACAACAGTTTGCATATGTGCCTCCCACTTGTTAAGGGACCAAAAGTAATGGGACAGAATAATAATCATAAATCAAACTTTCACTTTTTAATACTTGGTTGCAAATCCTTTGCAGTCAATTACAGCCTGAAGTCTGGAACGCATAGACATCACCAGACGCTGGGTTTCATCCCTGGTGATGCTCTGCCAGGCCTCTACTGCAACTGTCTTCAGTTCCTGCTTGTTCTTGGGGCATTTTCCCTTCAGTTTTGTCTTCAGCAAGTGAAATGCATGCTCAATCGGATTCAGGTCAGGTGATTGACTTGGCCATTGCATAACATTCCACTTATTTCCCTTAAAAAACTCTTTGGTTGCTTTTGCAGTCTGCTTTGGGTCATTGTCCATCTGCACTGTGAAGCGTCCAATGAGTTCTGAAGCATTTGGCTGAATATGAGCAGATAATATTGTCCGAAACACCTCAGAATTCATCCTGCTGCTTTTGTCAGCAGTCACATCATCAATAAATACAAGAGAAGCAGTTCCATTGGCAGCCATACATGCCCACGCCATGACACTACCACCACCATGCTTCACTGATGAGGTGGTATGCTTAGGATCATGAGCAGTTCCTTTCCTTCTCCATACTCTTCTCTTCCCATCACTCTGGTACAAGTTGATCTCGGTCTCATCTGTCCATAGGATGTTGTTCCAGAACTGTGAAGGCTTTTTTAGATGTCGTTTGGCAAACTCTAATCTGGCCTTCCTGTTTTTGAGGCTCACCAATGGTTTCCATCTTGTGGTGAACCCTCTGTATTCACTCTGGTGAAGTCTTCTCTTGATTGTGACTTTGACACACATACACCTACCTCCTGGAGAGTGTTCTTGATCTGGCCAACTGTTGTGAAGGGTGTTTTCTTCACCAGGGAAAGAATTCTTCGCTCATCCACCACAGTTGTTTTCCGTGGTCTTCCGGGTCTTTTGGTGTTGCTGAGCTCACCGGTGCGTTCCTTCTTTTTGGGAATGTTCCAAACAGTTGTTTTGGCCACACCTAATGTTTTTGCTATCTCTCTGATGGGTTTGTTTTGTTTTTTCAGCCTAATGATGGCTTCACTGATAGTGACAGCTCTTTGGATCTCATCTTGAGAGTTGACAGCAACAGATTCCAAATGCAAATAGCACACTTGAAATGAACTCTGGACCTTTTATCTGCTCATTGTAATTGGGATAATGAGGGAATAACACACACCTGACCATAGAACAGCTGAGAAGCCAATTGTCCCATTACTTTTGGTCCCTTACCAAGTGGGAGGCACATATGCAAACTGTTGTAATTCCTACACCGTTCACCTGATTTGGATGTAAATACCCTCAAATTAAAGCTGACAGTCAGCAGTTAAAGCACATCTTGTTCATTTCATTTCAAATCCATTGTGGTGGTGTATAGAGCCAAAAATGTTAGAATTGTGTCGATGTCCCAATATTTATGGACCTGACTGTAGTACAGGAGACGACCAGAGACTGCGGACACAGCACAGGAGAGACGACCAGAGACTGCGGACACAGACAGGAGACGACCAGAGACTGCGGACACAGCACAGGAGACGACCAGAGACTGCGGACACAGTACAGGAGACGACCAGAGACTGCGGACACAGTACAGGGGATGACCAGAGACTGCGGACACAGTACAGGGGATGACCAGAGACTGCGGACACAGTACAGGAGATGACCAGAGACTGCGGACACAGTACAGGAGATGACCAGAGACTGCGGACACAGCACAGGAGATGACCAGAGACTGCGGACACAGCACAGGAGACGACCAGAGACTGCTGACCTTTGGGGAGCAGAGGGGGGATGGGGACGGGTACCCGAATTTGACAGGTACCTGCTCCCACTTCTGCGGAGCTGTCCCCCCCACCCCTCCCCGTAATCTTGGGGGACACGACAGGTCCCAGAAGATTACAAGATTACAGGGTCATTCACAAAGCGCAGTGCTTCTCGTGCATGTGCAGTGGTCACCCGGCTGTCACAGACTGAGGACACCGCTGGACCGAGGAACAGGTAGAACCACTGGAGGTCTGCAGAGAAGAGCCAAGAGGCTGGCCCGGTATTCTGACACGGGGGGAATACCGGGCTGCATGCTCCATAAGACACACAGACATTTTACTCCATGTTTGGGGGGGGGGGGGGGGGGGGGGGGGGGGGGGGAGTGCGTCTTATGGAGCAAAAAAATACGGTAAACTATTTATGTAATCTTTTGATTTTAAAAGGTAACAAAGACATTTGAGGTTTGACCCCCAAACTCTTCTTAAAGATGATCTGTCATCCTTATATCTATTACAAGAGAGGTTTACATTCCTTGTAATAGGAATAAAAGTGATCAAAATAAATAATTTAAATAAATAAACGAAGGGACAGTGTAAAACTAGAAAGTAAATAAGAAAAATAACATTTAAAGCACGGCCATCCCTCGGCGCTCCCACTCAGATGACAATTGCGCGGTCATGCACCACTGTACCCATAAAACATTTTTATCATTTTTTTCACACAAATAGAGCTTTCTTTTGGTGGTATTTAATTACCACAGTGTTTTTTATTTTTTACTAAACAAAAAAAAAAACGCATTTTTCTTTGTTTCTGTTATAAAATTTTTTCAAATAACCTTTCTTCATAATTTTAGGTCAAAATGTATTGTGCTACATTTCTTTGGGAAAATACCCCAAATTAGTGTATATTATTTAGTGTGTAGGAAAGTTATAGAGTCCACAGACCATGGTATATATATCTGACAATCGATCAATCCTGATGTACTGGTGGCCTATTCATTTCTTGAGGTCCGAAAACGCCAGGTTAGTACAAATACCCCCCGAATGACCAATTTTTGGAAAATAGACAGTCCAAGGTATTTAGTAAGAGGCAAGCTTAGTTTTTTTTGAAGTTGTGATTTTTTGTTACACTTTTTCGGAAAATTAAGAAATAAAAAAAATAAGAATTCACAATGTATTTATTTTTTTTTTTAACATATTGTTACCAGTCCAGTGCAGCGTAATTATATAACTAGTGTGGCGGTGATCAGGGACACTGACTGGTGACATCATGTAAAAAAAAATAAATAAATGTTTATTTTTTAAACTTTTTCAATGTTTTTTATTACATAATTTTTTCTTTTTTTTTTTTTTTACAATTTTTTTTCAGCACATTATGACCAAAGCAATACAATGTTACCATAGTAACATTGACCTACCCTGGGCAAGTGCTCAGGATTTTTTTTTTTACACATTATGATTGCGAATACCAATGTATTTCATTGATATTTGCAACCATTGTTACTGAATGAAACTGATTAATTCAGTCCTAAATCACTTGAATCTGTTGTTATGATTGCTTCTTGCATCCCCTGCACAGCAGTTGGGAGGGAGGGACCGCACTGTGAGCCAATCAGTCTAACTCTGGAAGTCAAAGCAAAAGGACGCTTTCTATTCCTCGAGCATATATAGTGGCATGTCTGTTTTATCTGCTCCATCAGCTTTTTCAAACACCCTCCTGCACACCAATTCATCTATTCACAATGTCAGATTGAGCACTAATGAGAAAATGGAGATCACGGCGATTATTCAGCTCCCTCATCACCTCCTCCTATGCTGACTTCCAGGACTTCTCCAGAAGCTCTCTCATCTGCTGGAACTCTCTACCCCAGTATTTCTGGTTGGCTCCTACCCTGTCCACCTTTAGGCAATCATTGAAAATGCATTTATCCAGGGAAGCCTGCCCTACCCTCCACCTAAAAACTGTACTTTGGTCACCTCCATCAGATCCCCTGCTGTAACTATTACCTTTTATAGCACCTCCCCCTCCCTTTAGAGTGTAAGCTCCATGAGCAGGGCCCTCCTATTCCTGCTGTATTGCAATTGTACTGTCCCCCTTTATATTGTAAAACACTGTTTTCAAATGGCCATATTGAGCACTATTGAGAAATTGAAGATATAGGCAACCATCTAGCTCCCTCGTCATCTCTTCCCACGCTCACCTCCTGGACCTCTCCAGAACCTCTTCCATCCTTTGGAATTCCCTACCTCAACAGGTCCAGTTAGCTCCTAAGTTGTTCACCTTTGGGACATCCTTGAAAACGTATTCAGGGAAGCTTACCCACCTCCACCTGTACTTTGCAAACCTCCATCAGATTACTCCGTAGCGGTTATCTTTTGTAACAACTCTCCTTCCTTTGGATTGTAAGCTCCATGAGCAAGACCCTTCTACATTGAACTGTATTGCAATTGTACCGACTCCCTTTGTATTGTAAAGTGCTGAGCAAACTGTTGGCGCTGTATAAATCCTGTATAATAGTCATTTAAGGATCACACCACAATAACGCACACCAGATCTGTTTCTTCATGCATGTTTTTAATGCATTCTGATGCGTTTCTTATGTGTTTCCAGATGCATTCCAAATTATTTTTTTTTCTTTTGACTGTACCGGGGTTTGATGCATTTTGCCGCGTTCCAGTACAGTCCAGGGCAGGAAAAATGCAGCATGTTCTATTTTTTCTGGAACTGCAACACCTGGAACTGACCGCGCTGGTGTGAAAACTATGCTATTGGAAAACATATAACCTACTTTCCGTGCGCTTTTGATGCAGAAAAAAAATGCACTGGACTGCATGTAGTGTGAACTGGCCCTAAGGCAACCAGGAGGGAGGCCATTATGAAAGTCTAACCCATTCTTCAGACTGCGTCATCTTATTATTTATTTATTACAGGTACTTATATATCGCCATTAGTTTATGCAGCGCTTTACATATATATATATATTGCGCATTCACATCAGTCCCTAACCCCCAAGGGGTGTACAATCTAAGGTCCCTAACCCTCAAGGGGTGTACAATCTAAGGTCCCTAACCCTCAAGGGGTGTACAATCTAAGGTCCCTAACCCTCAAGGGGTGTACAATCTAAGGTCCCTAACCCTCAAGGGGCGTACAATCTAAGGTCCCTAACTTACATTCATACATACACATACTAGGGACAATTTAGACAGAATCCAATTCACCTACCAGCATGTCTGTGGTGTGTGGGAGGAAACCGGAATACCCGGAGGAAACCCACGCAAGCACAGGGAGAACATGCAAACTTCAGGCAGGTGGTGCCATGGTTGGGATTCGAACCAATGACCCGAGTACTGCCAGGTGGAAGTGCTAACCATTTAGCCACTGTGCTGCCCTTACAATAATTTCATGCTTGGAGTCTCCTAATAAATCAAACAAAAAATATTAGATGGAGATTCTGCTTTTCTGGGATCCCACGGCAAATGGTCACATGACCGAGTGCCTAAGCAAGGAGTCGTGACCTATGCTAAAAGGGAGAACTAGCCAATTTGAACTCTGTCCAGCAAAAGTATAAATGCATTGTGGACCCTAAAAGTGGTTGTAAAGGCTGATGATGATCACATATCACTACACCGGCCTGTTGCCAGTGTCATATGACCGTTGTGACCAATCACAGCAGATCACGTCAATTGTATACAATGGATGGCTTCCTGTCATGCCATTCATTTTATACAATTATGTTGTTAGCTGTGATTGGTCAAAGCAGTCACATGATAAAGACAGGGCCATTCACAGCCCATCTGTATCATGTCATCAGCTTTGCCCAATCACAGCTAATCACAACAAAATACTGAATGAATCAGTTTCATTCAGTAACAATGATTGCAAATATCAATGAAATACATTGGTATTACCAATCATAATGTGTTCAATGTTACTATGGCAACATTGTATTGCTTTGGTCACAGTGTGTTGAAAAAAAAAAAAAAAAAAAAAAAAAAAAATAAAAAAAAATAAAAAAAAATAGAAAAATTGGGGGAAAAAAATACAAATTAAATTATTATTTTCACCAAAGAAATGTAGCAGAATACATTTTGACCTAAATGTATGAAGAAATTTTATTTATTTGCAAAATTTTATAACAGAAACGAAGAAAAGTATGTTTTTTTTTCAAATGTTTCAGGGTTTTTTTTTTGTTTTATTTAGTAAAAAATAAAATCAGTGGTGATTAAATACCACCAAAAAAAGCTCTATTTGTGTGAAAAAAAATTATAAACATTTCATATGGGTACAGTGTTGCATGACCACGCACATGTCATTCAAAGTGGGACAGCGCTGAAAGCTGAAAATCGGCCTGGGCAGGAAGGGGGTATAAGTGCCTGGTAGGCGAGAGGTTAAAGAAAAAGGCTTTTGATAAGCGCTCCATTTTGACGTGTTGAACAGCACAGGCCTCTGTTCCGTGATTTGTCCGCAACAGCTAAAAACGTCTCGGTGGTTTGTGAATTTCCATGCTGGAATTTTCAGTTTTTACATTTTACTCAAAACAAATCATCTCATTGGCCACCATGCAATACATCATGACCGTGCCGTAACACTGGCCAAGTCACAGGGCTGAGAGATGATAACAGCTGCACAGACTGAAGGTCAGGAGTACAGGGGAGTACAGGGAGTAGTAGAAGCAGGCGGTATGCCAGAGCTGAAAATAAACAGCCCCCGGGAGCCCTGCTGTTCATGCTCTTCCCTACACACGCAGATAATGTGGTCGAATAACATAACCGACTTACACTTTACGGCTGCTTTCACACTAATCCCTTTTTCTTCCATTGTTTGCGTAAAAATAAATAAAAAGTAGAAGCATGATCATTAAAATTTATTGAATTATTCGCAATGGTCATTTGCGGGTCCGTTGCCTTTTTAAAAGCCCTACTTTTGGCACATGTTTGATGCGGTAAGAACAAAAACCCCCTCTGCCAATCCCTCCACTGGCTTCCGATTGCGCAACGGATCAAATTCAAAATCCTAACGCTGACGTACAAAGCCGTCCACCATACTGCCCCGAACTACATCACTGACCTAATATCCAAGTACCGCCCAACACGCACACTCCGCTCCTCACAAGTCCTCCTTCTCTCTAGTTCCCTGGTCTCCTCCTCCAATGCCCGCCTCCAGGACTTCTCCAGGATGTCACCCATCCTCTGGAACTCCCTGCCCCAACCCATCAGATTATCACGTACTCTCCTCTCCTTTAGGCGCACCCTGAAAACCCATCTCTTCAGGGAAGCCTACCCCACCCCCTGCTAACTTGCCGACCTCCTCCACTCTTCCTACCACTCCATCCCCCACAGCTATCTCCTCCTGTGCCACCATCCCCTCCCTCTTAGATTGTAAGCTCCAAGGAGCAGGGCCCTCAATCCCCTCATGTTTTGCATTGTATTGGTATTGTTCTGTCACATGTTCTGTCCCCCTCTGTAATGTACAGCGCTGAGCGAACCATTGGCACTTTATAAATACTGTATAATAATAATACCAAAAACGCACCTACCCATTGAAATGAATGGAAACAGCATCAAAAACATGGCAAAAACGCACACGCGGTTGCGTTTTTTGAGTCACTTTTTTCTTCACAGATGCAAAAACGCACTGGAAACGCGTCAAAAACAAAATTTTTTTCACATTTTTGCAAGAAATCAGCCTAAATTCTATGCAATGTTAACCTTGACTTTCTTGCCTCCAGTGCCTTAACCCTTTTGCTGCCAGATCCCGTTCGGACCTGACAGTGGGGGGTTGGGGAGGTTACACACAATCCAGTGGCTGCAGGGATTGTGTACAAAACTGACAAGCGGACTCCTGCCTGTCAGGTGGAAGCAGTTGGGCGGCTGTGCTGCCGCCTGATTGCTTCCACACACTCCCGGTAGTGGCGACTCGTCCCCATCCCAGCACACCGAGGATCACTAATATGGGTCCAAATGTTTTAAAGAACGATCACATAGTTACAGCGAGGCAACGTTTCGGAGTCTCGCAGGAACCCTTCATCAGGCATGTGACCACATCCTGCGAGTCTCTGAAACGTTGCCTTGCTGTAACTATGTGATCGTTCTTTAAAACATTTGGACCCGTATTGGTGATCCTCGGTGTTCTGGTGACATTCTCCCTTGCTGATTCTGTTCGGTTCCAGCCGGCGGTCGCTGCAGCACCCACTTATACACACCGCCATTTTTAACGCAGAGTGCATTTGGATTATACACGTACCCTCCCCATCCCACGCACGCCCTGCCATGTGCTCCGCTTTCCCATCTGCAGGGCCCCAGCCGGGTGGCGGGGAGGTGAGTGGACACACATGACCCAGAAAACGACGTGTATGTCGTCACTTCCAGGTACCCCCCCTGTCATTTTCCCCAGCTAGAACAGCCAAGGAGGAAGGTATTGCAGAGCGATCTGCATTGCAATACATGGAGTGGAGCCCAGAGGAGACATTAATGGTCTTTTAGACCCTGCATGTCTCAATAAAGAGAACCTGTCACCTGAAAATCATCACATAAGGGACTGTGTGTCCCCTATGTAATGAAAAAAAGTTAAGCAAAATGTTACACTAAAGCACGTAACATCCCCCCCAAAAAAAATTGTTACGGGGGCACTCGTCAGGAAGGAAGAGCCAGGAGCACAGGCGGGAAACCCGATAAGAGGAGTTACGGGGCTGCTCTGTGCAAAATCATCGCACAGAGCAGGAAAATTTAACGTTTGTTTTTTTTAAAAGAAAAAACAAAAAAACTTTGGTATCACTTTAAACGCCACAGTCTCCCACATCTATCATAAGAAGGAAGGCAGACAACAAATTAGGTGCAGTTGTCGCAGCTGCGTCCAGTGTATTTCTAGCACAGCAGCGAGTTTAACCGTACAAAGAAAAAAACCATCTACAGTATATCACAGTCTTATCTGAACTTTTCTTCCAGTATTTTAAAATGTCGTCAGTGCCAGGACACCACAGGAAGGCCGTCCTGAGTATTCACAGGTCAGGCAGGCCAGGGATAGGGAATGAGCCTGCAAACTGCTCCACCTCCTGCTTCAGAGCACTGATCTTCTCCCGGTGTTTTCCATCACCAGCCAGCTGGTCTTTGAACTCTTTAAGGGTTGCTTTGGGGTTCATGTCATTCTGGATCTCCAGTGTGATCAAGATGCCTGGAACAGAAGATCAAAGACGGTATTAGATTTTAAATATGGGACCCTATGAATTCAATACGTGTATCACTAGCAGAGAACAAACAAGCAGACAAGGACACATTATGGAAAGCAGAAGGTTACTTAACAGGAAATATGTTTTCTAGGTATTTTTCCTGACAATACATACTTGTATTATATGGTAATCGAATTATTCCAATTTTCATGTGATAAGTATATATATATATGTATCTATCCTTCTATACACATACATACGCAGTATACATAAACCACGGCCACTTTATTAGGTCCACATTGCTAGAATCGGGTACCCCCTTTGGCTTTCAGAACTGCCTTAATTCTTAATGGCGTAGATTCAACAAGGTGTTGAAAACATTCCTCAGAGATTTTGGTCCATATTGACATGATAGCACCACACAGTTGCTGCAGATTTGTCAGCTGCACATCAATGATGGTAGTCTCCCGTTCCACCGCATCCACGACGGGAGTCTCCCGTTCCACCGCATCCACGACGGGAGTCTCCCGTTCCACCGCATCCACGACGGGAGTCTCCCGTTCCACCGTATCCACGACGGGAGTCTCCCGTTCCACCGCATCCACGACGGGAGTCTCCCGTTCCACCGCATCCACGACGGGAATCTCCCGTTCCACCGTATCCACGACGGGAGTCTCCCGTTCCACCGCATCCACGACGGGAGTCTCCCGTTCCACCGCATCCACGACGGGAGTCTCCCGTTCCACCGCATCCACGACGGGAGTCTCCCGTTCCACCGCATCCACGACGGGAGTCTCCCGTTCCACCGCATCCACGACGGGAATCTCCCGTTCCACCGCATCCACGACGGGAATCTCCCGTTCCACCGCATCCATTGATGGGAATCTCCCGTTCCACTGCATCCATTGATGGGAATCTCCCGTTCCACCGCATCCATTGATGGGAATCTCCCGTTCCACCGCATCCATTGATGGGAATCTCCCGTTTCACTGCATCCATTGATGGGAATCTCCCATTCCACCACATCCTAAAGGTGCTCTATTGGATGGAGATCTGGTGACTGGAGGCCATTGGAGTACAGTGAACTCATTGTCATGTTCAGGAAACCAGTTTGAGATGACGAGCTTTGTGACACGGTGCATTATCCTACTGGAAGGAGCCATCAGAAGATGGGGACACTGGAGTCATAAAGGGATGGACATGGTCAGGAACAATATTGAGATAGGCCGTGGCGTTAAACGATGCTCAATTGGTACTAAGGGGCTCAAAGTGTGCCAAGAAAATCTCCCCCACACCATTACACCACCACCAGCCTGAACTATTATTACAAGGCAGGATGGATCCATGCTTTCATGTTGTTTATGCCAAATTCTGACCCTACCATCTGAATGTTGCAGCTGAAATCCAGACTCATCAGACCAGGAAACGTTTTTCCAATCTTCTATTGTTCAATCTTGGTGATCCTGTGGAGAATTGTAGCCTCCGTTTCCTATTCTTAGTTGACAGGAGTGGCACTCGGTGTGGTCTTCTGCAGCTGTAGCAAGGTGTGATTCAAGGTTCGATGTGTTGTGTGTTTAGAGATGGTATTCTGCATACCTTGGTTGTAACGAGTGGTATTTGAGTTACTGTTGCCTTTCTATCATCTGGAACCAGTCTGCCCATTCTCCTCTGACATCAACAAGGCATTTTCATCCACACAACTGCCACTCACTGGATATTTTCTCTTTTTTTTTCGGACCATTCTCTGTAAATCCTAGAGAAGGTTGTGTGTGAAAATCCCAGTAGATCAGCAGTTTTTGAAAAACTCAGACCAGCCCGTCTGGCAACAACACCCATGCCACGTTCAATGTCACTTAAATCCCCTTTCTTCCCCATTCTGATGCTCGGTTTTGAACGTCAGCAAGTGATCTTCTCCACGTCTAGATGCCTAAATTCATTGAGTTGCTGCCATGTGATTGGCTGATTAGCAATTTGTGTTACCAAGTAATTGAACAGGTGTACCTAATAAAGTGGCCAGTGAGTGTAGATGGTAGCCACAATGCACTGCGATGATCTTGTCAGTTAATGCAAACAGAACACAAGCCGAATGGCTCAGGAAGCAGACTATGGGACCAGTACTGGAGAGGTTTTGCTTACCAACAGTCCAACAAGTTAGAATATATGGATTCCGGCCTACAAACAGGCCATTTTTATTTCAATGTGACTAATTCTGCAAAGGCCAGCAGCTCACCTTGGTGAATAAACTGTGCAACTTTCTTGAAGTCTCCCTCCCTGAAGCCCCGGGAGGTCAGGGCAGGGGTCCCAAGGCGCAAGCCACTGGGGCGAAGAGCACTCTTGTCACCTGTAACAGAAGTCAGTAGTCAGAAACGTTTGCTCAGGTCTAACAAAGGTGCTTTGCTAGGGCGGCAGACAGTCCACACGCACCGGGACAGGTGTTCTTGTTGCACGCTATTGCACAAGCTTCAAGGACCTTCTCTGCTCTCCCTCCATCTGTGTTCTTATTGCGTAGGTTGACCAGAATGAGATGATTATCAGAGCCTCCTGTAAAGTGGTAAGAGACTAATGAGTGAACATATCAACCATCTGCCCATTCCCAGCCCTGACCACTAATCTTAGTAACATTCAGGAACAAATAGTATTCATCACCTTGTTACAACATGTCATCCATGGTTTACTGTTGTGTTGATCTCTGACTGGTCACATTGATCACATGGTGCAGACAGGGCCAATCACAGCCCATATGTGCCATGTGATTAGCTGTGGCCAATCATAGCTAACAACAATCGTAAATACTAAATGAATCTATTTCATTCAGTAAAAATGATTGCTTATACAAGTGAAATTCACGGATATAAGCAATCAGTGTGTAAGAAAAAAAAAAAAATCCTGATCACTTCCCTATCCGGTTCCCGCCCAGCCAATAACACAAAGGCGATCGAATAGAAAAAAACAACAGTGAGCGCTAATCCTGAAAGCGGCTAAGCACTCTAAGCAACCAATATGTACTTAAAAGGAATAACATAAAATTAGTGCAGCGCTAAAAGTAGTGGTAATGAGACAGATATAAGTCCACTGAAAGTCTTGGTCATATGGATGTGTCCAGTGACAAATGAGGATTCAGAATTGGTGATCCGTGTGGAAACGGCTGAAAAACGCACTCACCAGAAGTAAGACACATAAACGCAGTGTGCATCTAGAGCTCATGGATCCTCAATCCAGAAGGGGATAAAGCTGGTCCGGTTACAGGAATGGTGGATCCCTCCTCCGTGAATGCAGCAACAGATCCCCCTTTTCCCAGTTGGGTGTAGGGTTCCAAGATCAAGATTCTGCAAGCAAAAGCTCCTCAGGGGAGTTTTAGGGAAGGACACCCATAGTGTAGTAGGTTATAAAAAGCAGCTTTATTAAAACTTAAAGTATCCAATTCAAAGTAGGCAGGTATCATAAAGATGTGTCAGCAAGACAAACTAACCCTGACACTTTGAATAATGGCCGCCGGGCCTCCACGTGGCTCCGGCGGCGTAGCGTCTCGACGTCCAGGCTCCTCCTTACGCGTTACGTGCGCACGCACATCTTCAGAGGTATGGAACCATTGGCGTGATGACGCGAATAGGCGCATATAAATAGGCATAATGACGCATGCGCGGTTACGTATGCGCCAGTGTGCAATAACTAAGGCGCATGTGCGTGGCTCTGTCTTCCATTTTAATGGAGCTCGAAGACACAAGATAGAAGGGTAAGAATGCCCTATAATTGACAGATAAACGTCAATAAAGACAAGTTCAACGACGGTGTAAAATACACCTATTTGAAAGACAATCTGATTCAGATCTATATAAAAATATATAAATATATTACTATCGCGCCTATTTTATATTTTTATATAGATCTGAATCAGATTGTCTTTCAAATAGGTGTATTTTACACCGTCGTTGAACTTGTCTTTATTGACGTTTATCTGTCAATTATAGGGCATTCTTGCCCTTCTATCTTGTGTCTTCGAGCTCCATTAAAATGGAAGACGGAGCCACGCACATGCGCCTTAGTTATTGCACACTGGCGCATACGTAACCGCGCATGCGTCATTATGCCTATTTATATGCGCCTATTCTCGTCATCACGCCAATGGTTCCAAACCTCTGAAGATGTGCGTGCGCACGTAACGCGTAAGGAGGAGCCTGGACGTCGAGACGCTACGCCGCCGGAGCCACGTGGAGGCCCGGCGGCCATTATTCAAAGTGTCAGGGTTAGTTTGTCTTGCTGACACATCTTTATGATACCTGCCTACTTTGAATTGGATACTTTAAGTTTTAATAAAGCTGCTTTTTAGAACCTACTACACTATGGGTGTCCTTCCCTAAAACTCCCCTGAGGAGCTTTTGCTTGCAGAATCTTGATCTTGGAACCCTACACCCAACTGGGAAAAGGGGATCTGTTGCTGCATTCACGGAGGAGGGATCCACCATTCCTGTAACCGGACCAGCTTTATCCCCTTCTGGATTGAGGATCCATGAGCTCTAGATGCACACTGCGTTTATGTGTCTTACTTCTGGTGAGTGTGTTTTTCAGCCGTTTCCACACGGATCACCAATTCTGAATCCTCATTTGTCAATGGACACGTCCATATGACCAAGACTTTCAGTGGACTTATATCTGTCTCATTACCACTACTTTTAGCTCTGCACTAATTTTATGTAATAACACAAAGGCGGCCAGGCGAGCAGCTCGTCCCTCCGGGAGGACGTCATATGGCGTCCTTTCCATCATGCGCAGTGCGCCCGCCCACAGGGCCGCTATGCGGCGCGATCTCTCACCGGCTGTGTACCTCAGACACGGCCGATGACAGATCTGTTTACCGGCCCCATTTCCAGTACCATGTGACCTGCTGTGACCAATCACAGCAGGTCACATGACATTTGTATACAATGGATGGTTTCCTTTCATGCCATCCATTGTATACTAGCGTGTCTAGCTGTGAATGGTCACAGCGATCACATGCACAAGCTGGGCTAATCACAGCCCAGCTGTGTCATGTGATTAGCCGTGGCCAAATCACAGCTAAGCACAAAAAAAAACCCTGAATGAATCAATGTCATTCAGGTAAATGCTTGCGTATAGCAAAGTAATTCTTTGCTACACACAAATTGTGTAAAAAAAAAAATACTGATCACTTCCCCAAAGTAGTACAATGTTACTATGGTAACATTATACTACTTTGGTCATAGTGAAATATGAAAAAAAAAATCTTAAAAAAAAAGAGGAAAAAAAGTAATAAAAAATTAAAACTAATAAAAAGATTAAAAATTTTTTTATTTTTTTTTTGGACTATCACCAGTCAGTGTCCCTGATCACTGCCATGCCAGTTATATGATGATGCTGTACTGCACTGGTGACAGTATGTAAAAAAAAAATAGTGAAAATAATTTAAATTTTTTCATTTTCCGAAAAATTATGACAAAAAATGTACAACTGTACTGTTCTGCCATTCTTGGACCTCAAGAAATTAGATTGGCTGTCAGTACTTCAGGATTGATCAATATTCAGATCTATACCATAGTTTGTGAACTCTATAACTTTCCTACAAACTAAATAATACATCCTAATTTGGGTTATTTTCACCAAAGACATGTAGCAGAATACATCTCGGCCTAAATTTATGAAGAACAATTATTTATTTATTTGCAAACTTTTATAACAGAAACAAAGAAAAATGTGGGGGGTTTTTTTTCAAAATTTTTGGTCTTTTTTTGTTAATTTAGAAAAAAATAAAAAAAAACCCCAGTGTTGCTTAAATACCACCAAAAGAAAGCTCTAGTTGTGCGAAGAAAATGATAAAAATTTAGTTTGGATACAATGAGACCTGAAAATTGACCTGGGCAGGAAGGGGGTAAAAGTGTCCGGTATGGAAGCGGATAGAATAATACAGTGTTACTATGGTAACACTGTATTGCTCTGGTCACAGTATGTTAAAAAAAATCTTAAAAAAAAGAGAATATTTAAAAAATATATTTCATTTTTTTTTTTTGTCACTGATCCGTGTCCCTGATCACCGCTACCCCAGTTATAGAATGACGCTGTACCACACTGGTGACAGTATGTTAAAAAAAAAAAAAAAAAAAAAAAAATTTTTTTTAATTTCTTTATTTTCCAAAAAATTGAGACAACAAATTGGACAAAGATATAGACTCCCCTTTGTGACAGCACTGATGCATCAAACAAGTCACATGCTCCTCCATAATTACAAGGATTTGTTTTAGTCTGGGAGCATTTATCAGAGCATAAGGGCAACCAAAGTGAGTATGTACTGCTGGAAATGGCAGTGTAAAGCAAACCTGTTTCTGTGTCCTGAACAGACAAAGCATAAATATTTTAAGTTGGTCACAAACATTGCAATCTGTTAAAGGATATGTTCACCTTTCGTAACATGTTATATTCAGGGTATAACATGTAACACGTTACGATCAGACCAGCCTCCGCTCCCCCACTTTGACAGCTAGCATGGGATCTTCTCCCCCCCCCCAGCTCTCAAATTTAACCACTCTCCCGCCGCCCTATAGCAGAAATACCCATGCCACTGTTGGTGGCCTCGGCTGTCAATCACCAGGTCCCGGCCGGTGATTCCCTGCCGGCACCCAGCAATCACAGTCTATCACAGACGGGGGAGAGACCTGTATGTAAACATTACAGATCTCTCCCGTCAGCTCCTGAAAACTGCTTTGTATGGCTCTGCATAGCAGGGAACACCGTACACAGCAAATCAACCCAGCCTCCTACAGCATCCACAGATGCCGACAGCTCGCCGAACGTCGTGACATCACCTCCACAAGCTCCACCCTATGCGTTTCATCACCAGACGTCCTCACGGAGCAGATTGATCTATTAATTTTTTTAATTTATTCATTAGTACAGTGTCAGTGCTCTTTATTAGCATCGATCACTGTATTGGTGTCACTGGGGATGTCAGTGACACCAAGTCAGTTTTCCCCCCCAGTGTCAGGATGTCTGCCGCAGTCCAGCTATAACTCGCTGATTGCCGCCATTACTAGTATAAAAAAATCCCAGTATATATACCGTCATTTGTTAGACGCTATAACTCTCACATAAACCAATTAATTTACACATATTGAGATTTTTTTTTTTTTTGGCAAAGACATGGAGCAGAGTACATTTTTAATTTTTTTTTGTTGGATGGGTTTCATAACAGAATAGCAAATTGTTTTTGTTTTCTACCAAATCTTTGGTCTTTTATGCATTTACAATAAAAAAAATTAAAAGCTCAGTGGTGATGAAATACCCCCCAAACTAAAGCTCTATTTAAAGTAGCGAAGGAGCGAATAGCAATAAAAATGCTCTGATTATGAAAGGGGTAAGGGTTGTCACATCAGGCTTTTGTTCACATTAAATGGGTTTTGCAGTCTATCAAAATGCAAAACCATCTTTAACCACTTCAAGTCCGGACACTTTCACCCCCCCTTCCTGCCCAGGCCAATTTTCAGCGCTATCACACTTTTAATGACAATTGCGCGGTCATGCAACACTGTATCCATATGAATTGTTTAGCATTTTTTTGAGACAGATAAAACTTTATTTTAGTGGTATTTATTCACCACTGGGATTTTTATTTTTTTGCTATATGTATGAAAAAGTCCAAACATTTTGAAAAAAAACAAACATGTTTTTCTTATAAAAGTTTGCAAATAAATAATCTTTCTACATAAATCTTGGCCAAAATGTATTCAGCTATCTTTTTAGTAAAAAATAAAATAACCCAAAAATTATAATTAAAAAAAAAAAAAAATTAACATTTTTTTTTTTTTTTTTTAGATTTATTTATTTTTCTTTTAACATACTGTCACCCTAGCAGTACACTGTACTACTTGTGGGGGGTGATGAAGATTTTTTTTTTTTTAAATAATACGGATTGATTTTACACCCATAAAGGCTGTAAAAGCAATAATTTCTCTTTCTCTCTGGCTGCATTCCTGTAGCCATTGAGAAATACTGTGAGAGCTGTGATTGGTCACAGCTTGTCACTTGGTACAAGGGTGTTGTGAATAGCCCTGTACCATGTGACCTCTGTGATCATTCACAGATTTCACACGTAGTAAGCAATGATGTTAGGAAGTGACATCTTGCTTAGTACTATTCATATGTAATCACTGATTGGCCAATCAGTGATCACATGATCAGGACCTCACACAGAGGTCCCGTACAGCGATCGGTGTTCAGCAGGCACGAGTTCGCGGGACCGCGTGCTCCCAGGGAGCGCGCACAGGCAGTGAATGCGGGGGGCATTTAAAAACGGCCACCCGCTTCGGCACTGCTCCTGTCCGGCCATTTATGTACATGGGCCGGGCGAGAAGTGGTTAAAAGCAGGTCAAATGGCCGTCAAAAAAAGGAGGTCAACTACAGCGTCTCTAACTCATGTCATAGACACAAGCTCATCCACACTGACCCCAACAGGGATCCTTGGGTTAAAGTAATTCTAATATGTTGTATAGGAAGTTAGGGAAGCTAAGCAGAGGCAGAGTAATACTGGGTACACACGGGCCAAACATCAGCTGAAATCAGCAGGTACAATAGAAACTGGCCAACTTTTGGCCCGTGTGAACAGCTCCCTGTCCAACAGAAGCCAGTCGTGGTGCCAGATAACCAGCATTCGATCAGTGCTGGCAGCAATTGGCTGCGAACACCGACTGATGTGTTCTGGCGAGGGCTGGACCTTACCAGTGACAATGTGATAGCCCAGCTCGTCCATGGCGGCCGCCAGTGCCCGGCAGTTGGAGATGACTTGCGCCTGGTAGAGTTTGAACTCCGGGCTCATAGCTTGCTTCAGCGTTACAGCAACACCTGCAAGGAAGTAGCACAGCATGGAGTAAGTCTCGTTCTAACTTGCCATAGTATGATAGACTACAGCACCCAGCCCTGCTTTACCTGCTATAGCATGATTATGGGGTCCCCCCTGCAGTCCCGGGAACACCGCCTGGTTTATCAGACTCTCATAGTTATAAAGAACCTCTTTTCCAGTCTTTGGATCCACACTGCTGCGCACTCCTGGAAAATAAAGGCATTATATGTGTGCATACCAAGCTGGAGGAACAGACAGTAAACACGGACACTCAAAATAAAGTCCTGTGTCAGGTTAGATACTCACAGGTCTGACCACAATGCAGGATATTTGTTAAAATAGATGTACACCCCTAACTGAAGACCCTTCACTGGAGAGTGTAAATCACTGGCTGATACTTGGTGCATCGTTCACCCCACACTGAGGACTACATCACAGCCCATTCATAAAATGCAGCCTTCATGGTGCTGTGGAGTTCTATCTGCATAATGTAGCACAGAGAACTAAGACAGGTCACAGACTTCTCTTCCTCCTCCTTCCTGGCCTCCATTTAGCCCTTTGGAGGACCATAAGATTACGGAACGCCAAAAAAAGAATAAATTTTTTGTTTTTAAACCATTAGCCGCCCGGCCAATGGCTATTTGGCGGCTTCAAAAGTGCTGCTGCACTCCGGGTGCACGCCATTTGGCGTGCTCCCGCACATGCGCAGTTTTGCGCTAATGCAGAGCGGCGCAGCAGTGCGATCTGTCACTGTCCGCGTACCTCGGACACGGCCGATGACAGATCTGAGTACCCCGGCCCCGTTGCTGGTGCCATGTGACCTGCTGTGACCAATCACAGCAGGTCACATGACAGTTGTATACAATGGATGGCTTCATTCATGATGCCATCCATTGTATACTAGTGCCTGGCTGTGAATGGTCACAGCTAATCACATGCACATTCATGTGATTAGCTGTGACCAAATCACAGCTAAGCACAAAAAAAAAAAAAAAAGCTGAATGAATCGATTTCATTCAGGTAAATGCTTGCTTATAGCAAAGTAATTCTTTGCTATAAGCAAATTGTGTAAAAAAAAAAAAAAAAAAAAAAAAATACTGATCACTTACCCAAAAGTATACAATGTTACTATGGTAACATTGTACTACTTTGGTCATAGTAAAATATGAGAAAAAAATCTTAAAAAAAAAAATAAAAAAATGTAATAAAAAATTAAAAATAATAAGAAAATTAAAAAAAATTAAAAAAAAAAAAAATATATATTTTTTTTTTACATACTGTCACCAGTCAGTGTCCCTATTCACCGCCATGCCACTTATATGATGACGCTGTACTGCACTGGTGACAGTATGTAAAAAAAAAATAGTGAAAATAATTTTTTGAATTTTTTTCATTTTCCGAAAAATTATGACAAAAAAAATACAACTTCAAAAAACTCGCCATGCCTCTTATGAAGTACGTCGGACTGTCTACTCTGCAAAAAGGGGTCATTTGGGGGATATCTGTACTATTCTGACATTCTTGGACCTCAAGAAATTAGATTGGCTGTCAGTACTTCAGGATTCATCAATATTCAGATCTATACCATAGTTTGTGAACTCTATAACTTTCCTACAAACTAAATAATACATCCTAATTTGGGTTATTTTCACCAAAGACATGTAGCAGAATACATCTCGGCCTAAATTTATGAAGAACAATTATTTATTTGTAAACTTTTATAACAGAAACAAAGAAAAATGTGGGGGTTTTTTTTCAAAATTTTTGGTCTTTTTTTGTTAATTTAGCAAAAAAAAAAAAAACCCCAGCGGTGATTAAATACCACCAAAAGAAAGCTCTAGTTGTGTGAAGAAAATGATAAAAATTTTAGTTTGGGTACAGTGATGTATGACCGCGCAATTGGTCATTCAAAGTGTGTGAGAGCGCTGAAACGAGAAAAATGGCCTGGGCAGGCAGGTGTAAAATTGCACGGTATTGAAATGGTTAAAGTTCGTCCACTTCAGTTTCTGTAACTAAGCCATTTCATGAAATAATTGGCAAAAAGCTAGATCCATTTGTTGATAAGAACTAATATTCTTACTCAAGCCAAAAAAAAAAAAAAAGTATTTTAAGTTCTTAATCAGATGATACAGGCAATTAAAAACATGGGACAAATACGTCCCTTGGTCCTCAAAGGGTTAAAGCATTTAGTATACAGTGTCTTGAAAAAGTCTTCATACCCCTTGAAAGTTTCCCCATGTTGTCATGTTACAACCAAAACCATCAATGTATTTTATTCGGATTGGATGTGATAGACCAGTGGTCGGCAAGCCGCGGCTCGCGAGCCACATGCGGCTCTTTACATGCTTTAATGCAGCTCTTGTGTGCCGGGGCGCCGCCCGCTCCCCTCCCTCCTCTCGGGCGGGGCAGGGACTCTGCAGAGTGATCCAAAAAAAAAACAGCCAGGGCAGCACGCTCAAATGCAATGATTGGCCAGTCTCGCTGCCACTCACATCCTGATAGCCAGTGATTGGCTGTCAGGATGTGTGTAGGCGGGGCAGCGTGACGAACGTGAGAGGAGCTAGGCTCCTCTCACAGTCCGCCCTGAAGACCAGAACGGCGCGGGAACACGGCGAGAGGAACGCGCGGAGCAAAGGTAAGTGAATTGACACGGGGGGGGGGGGGACTTGGCTTACTACTTGCTACTTACTTACTACTACTATATATGAGGGATGAATTAATATGGGGGATGAATATTACTATGGGGGATGAATTACTATGGGGGATGAATTACTATATGGGGGATGAATTACTATATGGGGGATGAATTACTATATGGGGGATTAATTACTATATGGGGGATGAATTACTATATGGGGGATGAATTACTATAGGGGGGATGAATTACTATAGGGGGGATGAATTACTATAGGGTGGATGAATTACTATATGGGGGATGAATTACTATATGGGGGATGAATTACTATGGGGGGATGAATTACTATATGGGGGATGAATTACTATATGGGAGATGAATTACTATGGGGGATTGAATTACTATATGGGGGATGTATTTTCAGTTTTAAAAATGTGGCTCTCAAAATAAATTTCAATCGTGGTTTTGGCGAGATTTGGCTCAGTTGAAAAAAAAGGTTGCCCACCACTGTGATAGACCAACACAAAGTGGCACATAATTGTGAAGTGGAAGGAAAATGATCAATGGTTTCCAACATTTTTTACAAAATAAATATCTGAAAAGTGTGGCAGCATTTGTAATCAGCCCCTTTACAGAATACCCCTAACGGAAAAAAAACAAAAAACAAGGGGGGGGGGGCGGGCTAAACAGTGACTGATCACTGTGCTAGCCAATCAGAGGCTATCACAGCAATCATGTGACCCAGAATCGGGAGTCCTGGGTCCCGATCGTTAGAACAGGTACATAAATATGCGGCCCCACGGAAAAAAGCCCAGTTCTGTGAGGCCGCATATTTGTGTGATGTCGGCGTCAAGGGGTTAAGTTATTAGACTAATGCAGGCCATACATGGTTCGAATTCCGAATGATTTTTCATCCGAAAATCGAAAACGTTGTTCACTCGGTAACCCCATGGTGCCATCAATGTTTTCGAAAATCGGCTGACCAATTCATAAAGTTCACCCAATAGAACAGGAAACTTCTGTTCCTTCCAGGTCACGGCTCATGCGCATATTCGTTTCTGAAAAACGATCGTACGATTTGACCATCATGGAGTCAAAAATCGGTCGTTTTTCACAAATTTTCCAACATGCCTGACCACCAAAAAGGGGAGGAACCACCGGCCAGTGCCACTGACCCCCACTAACACAGCGAAAATCGACCCCTGATTATTCTTAGGTCCCGTATTCTCGGACGAAAAATTGGTTGAATTTTGACCCATGTATGGCTGGCCTTAGCTCTGCTCAAAAATAACCATATGAAAGTGAAATACCCCTGCAAGATCTCATAGGCATAAAAACAGAACAAAACTCCCCTCATCTCACCTTTTCCGATAAAAGATAATTCCGGCTCGGCAGCCCACGTAGTGTTTTGTGCGTCGTGGTGGGACACCACATCACAGTGCTCAAACGGAGATGGGACAACACACCAGCCGCCACCAACCCACTAATGTGAGCCATGTCTGCCATGAGGACCGCGTTATTTTCATCAGCTATGGCCCGCATCCTTGCATAGGTCCAAATTACGGGAAGTAACAGCTGACACCTGGAGAGAGAAGAATCACATATGACATTGATGAAGAGCAATAAATAATTTCATTGAAAGAATGAAATGCTCTCAATGCTTTTTTTTTTTTTTTACCCTTCCTCTCCCCCCCTTCTCTCCTCCACACTCCCCCCTTTCTCTCTTCATTCTCCTCTTTTCCTCTTAAAGTGGTTGTAAAGGCTGAAGGTTTTTCCCTTCATGTGATTCTAGTTAGAAACCTTTAGTGTGGCAGCACCCCCCCCCCCCAAACCTTACCTGACAGCCCCCTGCCAATCCAGCGACACATTCTCAACAGCCTCTGCTGTTTGGAGACTCTTCCGCCCCATTGGCTCAATCACAGCCAGTGAGCCAATGAGGAGAGAGTTGGGGCTGGTTCGAGCCATGGCTTTATGTGCCTTGTGAAACTCATAGTGGTGCCCCCAGGACAAGTTGGCTTTCCCTGGGGGCACTGCTTGAGGGGGAGAAGCCAAGAGCTTTATGTGTTCTTATGAACTTATAAAGCAGTCTCGGGGATACAGCATGCAGCAGTGCCCCCAGGGCAAGTTGGCTTTCCCTGGAGGCAAGCTGCTTGAGGGGGAGGAGCTAAGAGCTTTATGTGTCTTATGAACTTAAAAAGCAGCTGCTAGGGGATAACACGAGCATGCAGCGGTGCCCCAGGGCAAGGTTGCCTTTCCCTGGGAGGCACTGCTTGAGGGGGAGGAGCCAAGAGCCTCCGGCGCAGACCAGAAATTAGAAGAGGATCAAGGCTGCTCTGTGCAAAATCACTGCACAGAGTGAGCTGCAACAGGATGCAGTCCTTTCCTAAAATGCATGAGTTACATTGTACCTAATGTCCTAATGACCTCTGCCACCACCAGTTGGATCCTAAGGCAGTCTTATCACTTCAAATGCTCCGACTTTCTACTGATTGCTTTTAACCACTTCTCGTCCGTGTAACCCATGTAGATAAATGGATGGGAGGCGCAGCCAATGCGGGTGGACTTTTCTAAACGTCCCCCATGCATCCATTGCCTGTGCAACGCTCCCTGGGAGCGCATGGCACTGCAATCGGATGCCCACTGTGTCACAGATCACTGTACGGGACCTCTGTGTGAGGTCCCAGATTCATGTGATTCACTGATTGGCCAATCAGTGATCACATGAATAGTAGTAAACAAGATGTCACTTCTGAACATCATTGCTTTATCTACGTGTGAAAATCTGATAATTATCACAGAGGTCACAATGGTACAAGGCTATTCAACAACAGCCTTCGTGACCAATCACCACAGCTCACACAGTCAGTTTTTCTCAATGGCTGCAAGAATGCAGCCAGAGAGAAAGAAAATTGCAAGAAAAATGATTGCTTTTACAGCCTTTATGGGTGTAAAAGCAATCAATGCAAAAAAAGAGAAAAGAAAAAATCTTCATCACCCCCCCCACAAGTAGTAGTGTCCACTATGGTGACACTGTACTGCTAGGGTGACGGTATGTTAAATAAAAAAACCAAAAAACAAAAAAACAAAATAATGATATAAAAAATAAAATAAAAATGTAAAAAAAAAAAAAAAAAAAAAAAAAAACTTTTGAAAAATTATAATTTTTGGTTATAAACTAAATTTGGGTTATTTTTTTTTACACTAAAAAGATAGCTGAATACATTTTGGCCAAGATTTATGAAAGAAAGAGTATTTTATTTGCAAAAATTTTTATAAGAAAAACATTTTTTTTTTCAAATTTTTGGACTTTCATTTATATAGCAATTAAAAAAAAAAATCCCAGGGTGAATAAATACCACCAAAAAAAAGGTTTTATCTGTCTCAAAAAAAATGCTAAAACAATTCATATAGGTACAGTGTTGCATGACCCGTGAGTGCAATTGTCATTTCAAAGTGTGATAGTGCTGAAAGCCCTGAACATTGGCCTGGACAGGAAGGGGTGAAAGTGTCCCTCCGCTCCCGTCCGGACTGGAAGGGGGTGAAGTGTCCGGACAGGAAGGGGGTGAAAGTGTCCGGACAGGAAGGGGGTGATAAAGTGTCCGGTGTACAGGAAGGGGGTGAAGTTGTCCCACGGACTGGAAAGGGGGTGAAAGTGCCGGACTGGAAGGGGGTGAAAAAGTGTCCTGGACCAGGAAGAGGGTGAAAAGTGTCGGACTGGAAGGAAGTGAAAGTGTCCACCGGACTGGAAGGGGGTGAAAGTGTGTCCGGGACTGGAAGGGGGGTGAAAGTGTCCGGGACTGGAAGGGGGGCCTCCCAGAAAGTTGAAGGAGTGTCCGGACTGGGAAGGGGGGGAAGTGTCCGGACTGGAAGGGGGTGGAGTGGGTGTAAGAGTCGGACTGGAAGGGGGTGTGTGAAAGTGTCCGGACTGGAAGGGGGGGGGGGGTGTGAATTTGGGGGAAGTGTCCGGACAGGAAGTGATTAAGTGATTTTGCATCTTATGTTCACGAGTCATTGATTTTATCTGTAAAACAATTTCTTTTTTTGTGACATCTAACCACATTGTCTATTCCTAATGACATTGCTGTGATCATCATATCTGACTAGTTTTGTATGAATACCTTTCTACCTAAATAAAGAATTTGAAAAAGAACGAGTAGTGAGATGAAATCAGCGAATTCAAATCTACTAAAAAAATCTAGTCTGGAGTTGACCTTTTCAAAGTTTTACAACGGATCTCAGATTCAGTTTTAATACAGACACCTTACCCGCTATGATTCAGTTTTTTGGATGACAATAAGCGTGCATTTTCTGCTAGCCCTATCGTAATCGATGTAGCCGGTGTCCGGATGTACCTGTCATGAAAAGAATAGAACCACAAGGGGTAAGTGCTGCCCCTACACTGCTGATATGTACCGGATTTAGAAAAGAAAGTGTATATAAATTGAGTACACGGCCTAAGCTCAACGCCAAGGTTTAGAAAAATACACTTTATGGAGTACTCAAGGCAGGGGCGTCCCTAGGGTTGGTGTCTCCCCGGTGCGATAACACTTGGTGACACACCCCATCGACGATCCCCGCTAGGATGGATCGGATACTGCAGATTGAACGTTAATGGATCAGACTCCGATCCATTGTGCTCCCCAATCCGCAGATCTGATCCATCCCTGTGGGGGATCGTTGGCTTTCTTTACAACTTATCTTTTCGTGGAGGAGCGGGTCCGGTGTCACCCCGTATAGGTTGCATGTCGACGATCCCCACAGGATGGATCGCATCTGCAGAGTTGAGCATAATGGATTGGAGTCTGATCCATTATGCTCAATCTGCAGATCCCTGATCCATCCTGTGGGGATCGTCGTCGGCTTGCTTTACAACTTACCTTTTCGTGGAGCGGGTCCGGTGTCACCCCGTGCGGTCGGGGTCACCCGGTGCGGCGCGCTTTTCCTCCCCGCACCTGCCTAGGGACGCCACTGACTCAAGGCTCTAACTGTCCTATATACGAATGGAAGCAGAATTTGAAGTAATTTAGAAATTCCGCATAGCAAAGGTGAGCACAGACAGAGCTCCGAGTCAATCTTTCTGATTCTAAGATCATGGAGGCTGAAAGTTTGCTGATTCTCTGAAAAAAGTGTGTGAAAGTCAGATCATCGGGTTGTGTTTATTGCCCTTTGTGTCCCCCTTTTCCCAGTGGCTCCAGGACACAAAATTGAGAAAGGGGGCTAAGGGTGCGGCTCTCGCTTTGCAGCAGCTTTCATTTCTCCCTTTGTGCCTGAATGCTGACCATTTCAATGGGAACAAAATACCTCCTGCCACCCTTTCTCACTTGCCTATTGTGACATTCCATATTATAACTGGACAGCCAATGACCTCACCTATGCACTAAGTAATTCGCAATATGAATTTTGGCGCTGGAGAGAGTAAAGTCTTACTAAACCCTGGAACCCACTGCATTCACTATATGTGGTCTCCCTGGACCCCGCATTAAATATCCGGTCTCCCCAGACCCTGCATTCACTATATCCCGGTCTCCCTGGACCCCGCATTAACTATATCCGGTCTCCCTGGACCCTGCATTCACTATATCCGGTCTCCCTGGACCCCGCATTAAACTATATCCGGTCTCCCTGGACCCCGCATTAAACTCATATCCGGTCTCCCTGGACCCTGCATTCACTATATCCGGTCTCCCCGGACCCTGCATTCACTATATCCGGTCTCTCCCGGACCCTGCAATTCACTATATCCGGTCTCCCCGGACCCTGCATTCACTATATCCGGTCTCCCCGGACCCTGCATTTCACTATATCCGGTCTCCCCGGACCCTGCATTCACTATATCCGGTGTATCCCCGGACCCCGCAGTCACTATATCCGGTCTCCCCGGACCCACGCAGTCACATATATCCGGTCTCCCCGGACACCCGCTTCACTATATCTCCGGTCTCCCCGGACCCACGCATTCACTATATCCGATCTCCCCGGACCCCTGCATTCACTATATCCGGTCTCCCGGACCCTGCATTCACTATTATCGGTCTCCCCGGACCCTGCATTCACTATATCTCCGGTCTCCCACGGGGACCCTGCAATTCACTATATCCCGGTCTCGGTGGGTCTCCACGGACCCTGCCTGCATTCAATATATCCGGTCTCCCTTCAGGACCATGTCCCGACCATGCATTCACTATATCTTTGGGTCTGGTCTCCCCGGACCTTGCATTCATTATATCGGGCCTCCCTGCACACTGCATTCACTATATCTGGTCTCCCACAGTACACAGAACATGGAAATGCATATATTTTAGTAAATATAAACTGCTAAATACCTTTTCTCACTCAGCAGTATATAGCAGTCTTGTGACTTCTATCAGTGTTCACAGCAGAGCACTGGTTTAAAGCTTTATGTAGGAGTTTCATTTTCATTCTCCCCTGATTGTCCTGAGGCCTGGCCAGGATCCCTGATCCTCTGACTGATCAGTACTGATTGGCCCTGTGCTGATCAAAAGCACTCTCCCAAGAAAAAAAGAAAAACGCTCTAGCAATACACACCAAACTGAGCATGTGCAGCTTACCCCCAAGGCTCTGTTCTATTAGCAGAATTTACTGAGGACAAAAGAAGGAGAGGAACAGAGAAGACAGGATCAAACAGCTTTTACACACAATGCAGAGGATTTAACCCCTTAGGTTCCACAGTGAGTATAACCAACATGCTTTACTGCACATGCTACAGACTGATTTTACTGTTGCGGGTTTAGTAACACATTTTAAAGCAGTATTAAAGTGTCATTAAACCCAGAGTATGAAAAAAAAAACTGCAATATACCACAGCGTGTGCAAACTTACGCTATGAAGCCACTAAAGCAGCCTTCTCAACCTGTTTACCCCTGAGGACACCCTTGAAATTAATTGCCAGGTTCTCGGGGAACCCCTGCTAAAAAAAGAAGAATGTCTACAATTCATGATACATTAGCGTCAGGTTTAACAAGTCAAAGAAAGTTTGAGCGGAGTTTTTTGATAAGTAATAAGTAATGTGGCATACTTGGTGTCCGCAAAAAAAAAATAAAACGGTGCACTCTCCTTGTGCATTACCGTGATAAATAGGAATTCATTAAAAAATCACAAATGCATACTCACACCATAAGGTCATAAAACCAGAGACAATGAGCCCGAAGATGACGAAGACAATGATGCCGAAGGGTGAAATCGTTTTATTCAGGAGTCGAGCACTCCCTTCCTCAGAGCTGAGTGTCCATTCTAACATTAGTGGTCAGTTTAGAAGCTTAGTGGGAAATTACCCCTTGCAATGGTGATCAGTAAAAGGTGGGAGATCAATCTCTCCATTACTCTAAGCTGAAGGAACCCCTAGCAACCACAGGAGAACCCTGGGGTCCCATGGAACCCTGATTGAGAAAACACTGCATTAAAGCATTATTTTTGTGTAGAGTGAAATATAACTCTGGTTGATCCTGCCTTCAGCTGTCCCTCCCATCTTCTCACTGTCCCCATTGCAGGCTGAGATTGTGTAGACAAGCTGTTGTCATCTACTGAGCATGCTCCAGTTCCCATCTAAAGTTATTCATTTCTGTCTTTTTCTTCTGTGCAATGCCCACATGACTAGAGTCCCACACTATGTCGGGTGTATACACAGTGACAAATAACACTCCCCACCCTCCTCCATGTCCTACTATTGCTAAACACTAAGGGGGCAGGATATAGTATGCTGATTGATTTTACATTCACTAAGAAACTCACAAAAAACCTTAGTTTTATTGTGAATCATTATTGAATATAATCAAATGTAATTGGTAATAACTGTAACTGAAAAAAAGAGCCTTGAATGCAGATACCATCTGAACAACATGAAAGCTAGCGCCAATCGGTTGCCTACCCCTGACCTACACCATATTAAAAGCACAAAAAAAAAAATGATGTTCAATAAAGATTTATATAAATGTATAAAACAGTTTTGATATTTTTAATTTGAATTGCTCTTCTGAAACTTTTTTGTGTGTGTCATGTGACAGGCACAGCACTAATCAGGGCTGTGCAGACAGACTCATAGTAATAGAAGCCCCTCCCAAGGATATTTCCCTGCAGATGCCAAAGAACAGGGAGAGAACACGTGACCACACAACAGTGCTGCAGGAATAAAGTACTTAGAGGATATAAAAAAATAAATAAAAATAAAATACAGGCTCCTATAGACAAATGAAAAAGAACTTAGCTAGGCACCTCACCACAGCGGATTGCTTTGTAATTGCCAGGGGATGGCATCAGGTTGAAGCTCCATCGCTGGAGGAATGGACAAGACTGAGTACATGGAACAGATGATTGCATGGGATGAAGATAAATCTTATGTGGATGGTGTGGTCTCATTTTACATACTCGTCTGCCTTTGAATCCTTTGTCACTGACAAGGTCTGAGACCCCCAACATTCCCTTCCCAGGCTCCTCCCATGGTCCCCCCTTTATGTTCCCTCTCTACCTCCTCTTCTCCTCTAACCCTCTTCCCCTTTTTTTTTTAATGACTCTTTTTTTCCTTACTTTTCTCCTTGTTACCTCCTTGATTGTTTTTTTTTACAGGTTTTCTTGATGGATGGTTTAACCATCTTCCAATCTTCCACATTCACCCAAATTTTATGTCATCACTTGAACTGAACTACGCCGTTTGATATCCTACATGATACATTACTATTGTAAATGCATCTGTTTATATCTCAATGTACTCTAGTTCAGTGGTTCTCAACCTTCCTAATGCCGTGACCCTTTAATACAGTTCCTCATGTTGTGGTGACCCCCAACCATAAAATTATTTACCCAGTAATTATAATTCATGAAGTGTCGTTTTACCTCCAATACTGCTCCTTTCAACACAGTAGCTGCTTTTAACAGAGTAGCTGCTTTCAACACAGCAGCTCCTTTCTACACAGTAGCTGCTCTTTACACATCGGAAATATGTGTTTTCTGATGGTCTTAGGGGACCCCTGTGAAAGGGTCGTTCGACCCCCAAAGGGGTCATGACCCACAGGTTGAGAACCACTGCTCTAGGGGCTTTTGTAGAAAACAAAGCTCTGACATACTATTTGCGCTCTCTACCTCGGGACATTTGTTTCTCATTTTTCTTTCTCCCCCTTGTTGTTGTCGGGTGTTATGTTGTACTTTGCTCGTAATATTTGGGTTGTACGCGTGTTGATACACATGTTCGAATACGTTTTGAACCTATATTGTTGACCTGTATTGTTTGACAATACTTAACCACTTCCCGTCCGGCCTATACATATATATATATATATATATATATATATATATTATATATATTACGGCCAGGTGGAAGCAGTGCAGGAGCGGGTGGCCGTTTATAAACGTCCTCCCCGCTCCCTGCTTGTGCACGCTCCCTAGGAGCACACAGCACTGCAATCCAATCCCGATCGTTGTACGGGACCTCTGTGTGAGGTCCCGGTCATGTGATCACTGATTGGCCAATCAGTGATCACATGAATAGTAGTAAGCAAGATGTCACTTCTGACATCATTGCTTATTACTTGTGAAATCTCTGAATGAGCACAGAGGTCACATGGTACAGGGCTATTCACTACAGCCTTGTACCATGTACAAGCAATGAGCAATCACAGCTCACACAGTATTTCTCAATGGCTGCAAGAATGCCAGAGAGGAGAAATGATTGCTTTTACAGCCTTTATGGGTATAAAAGCAATCAGTGTAAAAACAAAAAAAAAAAACAAAAAAAAATCTTCATCACCCCCCACAAGTAGTACAGTGTCACCATGGTGACATTGTACTGCTAGGGTGACAGTATTTTAAAAGAAAAACATAATATACAAAAATAAAAAAAAATGTAAAACTTTTTGAAAAATTATAATTTTTGGTTATAAACTAATTTGGGTTATTTTTTTGTTTACTAAAAAGATAACGGAATAAATTTTGGGCAAGATTTATGAAGAAAGATTATTTATTTGCAAAATTTTATAAGAAACACTTTTTTTCAAAATGTTTGGACTTTTTCATTTATATAGCAAAAAAAAATAAAAAATGCCAGTGGTGAATAAATACCGCCAAAATAACGTGTTATCTGCCTAAAAAAAATGCTAAAAAAATTCATATGGGCACAGTGTTGCATGACCGCGCAATTGTCATTCAAAGTGTGATAGCACTGAAAGCTGAAAATTGGCGTGGTATGGAAGGGGGTGAAAGTGTCTGGACTGGAAGGGGGTAATAAACAAAAGATTACAAATAATAAAAATTAAAAAAATACAGTAGAATGATATAATATGATTTATGTAAATGAATTATGACAACTAACATCTCTGTTTAGTATCATTTTAAATCCAAAGCCAAAAAATTTAATACATTGAACCTTCGATGTGGTGCCTGCATTAGTTTTAAGGCTTTTTTTCCACCTCGGTTTTCACCTGGTCATCTGGCCAGTAAGACATCTCCTGAATTAGAGTGCCCCCCCTCACCACCACTCTGGATGAAGGAGCACAGGGGACACCTTTGGACAGTAGCATTGTTAACCACTTTAGCGCCGCCCCATAGCCTGCTACAGGGCGGCAGCTGTGCGCAAAATCACGTAAATATATACGTAATTTTGCATTTCCGGGTAGGGAAATGCCATTCGCGGCCTTGGCTGTCAATCACCGGGTCCTGGCCGGTGATTACTCGCTGGCGCCCAGTGATTGCCAAGCATCTCCGACGGGGAGGGGGAGAACTGTTTGTAAACACAAAAGTTCTCTCCCGTCAGCTCCTGCACACTGCTTTGCATGGCTGTGATAAGCACAGCCATGCAAAGCAGTGTGCTTACAATGAAACACAAACATAGCACACAGGTATAAATGGCACACAGTTAACCCTTTGATCGCCCCTCAGGTTAACCCCTTCCTGCCCAGTGTCATTAGTACAGTGTCAGTGCTTATTAGCACTGATCACTGTATTGGTGTCACTGAGGATGTCAGTGACACCAAGTCAGTGTCAGAATGTCTGCTGCAGTCCTGCTATAAGTCGCTGATCACCGCCATTACTAGTAAAAATGACAAAAAAAATGAAAACAAATCCCAGTATATATGCGCCATTTACAAATGCTATACCTTTTATGTAAACCAATTAATTTATATGTATTGGAATTTTTTTTTTAGCAAAGACAGGGAGCAGAATACATTTTGGCCTAAATTTATGATGAAATGTGATTTTTTTAATTTTTTTACTGGACATGTTTAATAGCAAAAAGTCAAAAATAGTTTTTTTTCTCAAAATTGTCAGTCTTTTATTTTTTTTTTACAGCACAAAAAATATAAAAACCACACAGGCAATCAAATACCATCAAAAGAAAGCTGTATTTGTGGGGAGGAAAAAAAGGACGTAAATTTCATTTGGGTGAGGGTTGCGTGACCGCGCAATTGTCAATTAAAGTAATGCGGCGCCGTATCACAAAAAATGGCCTGTCAGGAAAGGGGGGGAAATCGTCAGGAAGGCAAGTGGTTAAAGCCCCCAGCAACCTTCTCTGCATTATCAGACAGTGTAGTGAGCAGTGATGCTCCCTCATGGATGGGTTCGCCCTGCACTCACAGTATGTCCTCAGTCTTCTGGGTTGTAGGAGGCAGGATGCCATTCAACCCGGAAGACCATGGATATCCAGTAGCTGAATTCAATTACTGCCAGGGACGGTACCAGAGAGGAGAAACACATAAAGCTGCCTTTTAATTTTTAAGCTGCTGGGGCACCAATAATTAAAAAATACCCTGAAGGTGGGTTAAAATCCATGTATAGCAATGTTTGGGAATTCAGCTTAGTTTTGCCAAAGTTGTAACCAGGCGGTATAAATAATTAAAATTTTCCTGCAGCTTTCAGGAGAAGAAACAGCAACAGTTATGGAAGACTAAAGAAAAGTTTGGCGTTCGTTCCCTTAATCCTCCATGATGTCCTGCTCAATTCCGACTGCCTGCTGGGCCACAAGCACCCAACTCTCCATTAAATCATGTGTTACAAATCAGTGACTACCCTCCTTGGGGTACAGCACCGTCCACTCACCTTGTATGGCATAGACTCAAAAAAGATGGATGTCGCAGAGATTTTTTTCTTGTCTGTCATGAAGCCATGTGTGAGATGACCGCCATCAGGAAGATCCAATCCCATGATCCTCCCATGAGGCTCCACTAAGGCAGTGTAGACAGCAAAGTTGGCTGGAGAGCCTAGAACAAAAAAAATCACGGATCAAAAAGGAAGCAAAGAAAAGCACAGTGACAATGGGGGTGGTGATGTCCATAGCAACACTGGGGTGGCAGTTTAACCCCTCACCCTCCAGAGGATTTACCCCCCCCCCCCTTCCTGACCAGGCCATTTTTTGCAATATGGCGCTGCGTTGCACTGACAATTTCGCAGTCATGCAACGCTGCACCCAAATTACATTTATGTCCTTTTTCCCCACGAATTGTGCTTTTTTTCTGTGCCTTTGTTTTATTTGTCCATTGTGAGTGTGATACCTACTTTTTATCCTTTTAATAAATATTCTTTACGATAATGCACTAGGCCGGTGCGCCCTCTTTTTGCTTTCTTTTGTATCCAGTGACTTTGGACTACCCCGGTCCGTTGACTCTGCTGAGTCCATCCCCAGCGCAGGAGTACAGAGTTTCCGGTGTTTGGTTTGTAAGTATATATCTGTTACATTTCATCAACCACTTCAAGTCCGGACACTTTCCCCCCCTTCCAGTCCGGACACTTTCACCCCCTTCCAGTCCAGTCCGGACACTTTCCCCCCCCCTTCCAGTCCGGACACTTTCACCCCCTTCCAGTCCGGACACTTTCACCCCCCTTCCAGTCCGGACACTTTCACCCCCTTCCAGTCCGGACACTTTCACCCCTTTCCTGTCCGAACACTTTCACCCCCTTCCAGTCCGGACACTTTCACCCCCTTCCAGTCCGGACACTTTCACCCCCTTCCAGTCCGGACACTTTCACCCCTTTCCTGTCCGGACACTTTCACCCCCTTCCTGTCCGGACACTTTCACCCCCTTCCTGTCCGGACACTTTCACCCCCTTCCAGTCCGGACACTTTCACCCCCTTCCAGTCTGGACACTTTCCCCCCCTTCCAGTCCGGACGCTGTCACCCCTTTCCAGTCCGGACACTTTCACCCCCTTCCTGCCCAGGCCAATTTTCAGCGCTATCACACTTTGAATGACAATTGCGCGGTCATGTAACACTGTACCCATATGAATTTTTTAGCATTTTTTTTTGAGGCAGATAAAGCTTTATTTTAGTGGTATTTATTCACCACTGGGATGTTTATTTTTTTTGCTATTTAAATGAAAAAAGTCCAAAGATTTAGAAAAAAAAAAGTGTTTTTCCTTTAAAATTTTGCAGATAAATAATCTTTCTTCATAAATCTTGGCCAAAATTTATTCAGTTATCTTTTTAGTAAAAAAAAAAAAAAATAACCCAAATTAGTTTATAACCAAAAATTATAATTTTTTAAAAAAACACTTTTTACATTTGTCTTTCATGTTTTATATGATTATTTATGGGTTTTTTTTTACATACTGTCACCCTAGCAGTACAGTGTCACCATGGTGATGAAGATTTATTTATTTATTTATTTTTTTACACCGATTGCTTTCACAGCCTTTATGGGTGTAAAAACAATAATTTCTCCTCTCTGGCTGCATTCTTGCAGGCATTGAGAAATACTGTGTGAGCTGTGATTGGTCACAGCTTGTCACATGGTACAAGGCTGTTGTGAATAGCCTTGTACCACGTGACCTCGGTGATCATTCAGATTTCACACGTAGTAAGCAATGATGTCAGAAGTGACATCTTGCCTTCTACTCTGCATGTGATCACTGATTGGCCAATCAGTGATCACATGATCGGGACCTCATATGACGATCGGTGTTCCACTGTGTCTGGAGGACACAGCGGGCACCAGATCGCGGTGCTGTGCACTCCCAGGGAGCGCTCACAGTCCAAAATGGCGGGCGCCATTTATGAATGGCAACCCGCCCCTTGATACACATTTTATTTTATTGAGGTAATGCGCAAGGCTTGTGCACCCTTTTTCTTTTCATATTTTGTCATATTTACAAACCCTGGCTTCACTAACGAAGGTAAAAACTAAACATGTTATATTTAGCAGTCTATAGAAGAGGTTTTTCTTACCCGAATACGGCTGCACATTGACGCCCCATTTCTTCGGGTCCAGATTATAAGCCTCCAGAGCCCTTTTTTGACACAGCCTCTCCAGCTCATCCACATGCTCTGTGCCGCCGTAGTACCTGTTGTCATTCAGAAGGAGAGATTTCATAAACAGAGTAAAGAAATACGAGACAACGGCAGAATACTGACATGAAGGGAACTCATTTTGTCATGTTGGTGACAGGGGCGGACTGACAACTCATGGGGCCCCTGGGCAATAGGGGACTATGGGGCCCCTGTGTCCTTGCCCAAACTCAAAAAAGCCTATGAAAAAAGGTACCAGGGGCATCTCATGGGGCCCCCTACTGACCCGGGCCCTCGGGCAGTGCCAGAGTTTCCAAATGGTCAGTCCGCCCCTGTGGGGGACAGTACATGAGACAAGACAGTAACAAAACAATATAGGAGGGGTTCGAGGGCCCTGCACTTTCGAGCTTACAATTTAAAGTATTAACCCTCTACACTCAGATTGGCGCCCCCTTCTCCCTTCTGTTCGAATTACCCGGGTTACAGAAGACCTACAAATTCCTGACAACTGAACCATGAATGTAGTGGATTCCAGCGTCTCAGCATGATCACACTGTATTTGCCCCCTCTCACCTCTGTCCTGGGTAACCCTCCGAATACTTGTTGTTCATGCAGGAGCCAAGAGCCTGCAAGACTGCGCAACTGGCGAAATTCTCGGAGGCGATCAGTTCCAGGCCATACCGCTGTCTGTGCTTCTCCTTCCGGATAATTTCATACACCTGAGAACAAATCCAAAGACAGAAGCTATTAATGGAATAATACCGATTGCCTGCGTGCTGTACAGTTTAGGAGGCACCTGCCTGGTGCATGGAGTACAAACACTTTCATCTCTCAACCCAAAACCTGGCCTTCTGTGCGCAGGCTGGTGCGTGCCAAGTGGTGCATGCCAAGGGGTGCAGCACTGGGGTTTGGAGATGAATTTCCTGCTGGAAAATGATATCTATGGATCTTTTATGGTCTCTTCTGTATTAATTGGTTGCCTACCAAGAAACAAAACATGCTGGCAGGTAAAATAAGCCTCTGCCCAGGTCACCTGTGCACATGCAGATGTGTGACTGCAGGACATTGGACTGAAATGGAGTGCATGGCTCAATGTTCCTTTTAAAGAACAATTCTTTACAGTGTATATTTATTTTAGGGATGCACTGAAATTTCGGCCACCGAAACATAACAGCGCTGTAGAGCGCTACGATCGAAATCATGTGCAATGAGCGTCTAAGGACATTATAACTGTGCAGATGGTGAACTCCAATAGTAGAATGTAATAAATAAGCATATAGGTCCCCAAATCCGTAAAAAGTTGCAATTCGTGACTCTGGTGATGTGTATATAGATGTAGATTGCACTAACCAGATAGCGGAAACAAATGCGCATTTGAGTATTTAAACCACTCCTGGTCCTCTGGTAACAGAAGGATGAACATCCACAGCTCAACTGACCAACCGCAGCAGGACAAGTAGTTGCGGGGTCATCTGCCTCCAGGGATCAGGAATCACTCAGCCATCCACCAGGGGGATCACACTCCTTGTACCATGGTATCATATATAGCCACCAGGGGGACCTCTCTCCAAGGCAGGTACAAAACAGCAAAATCCACCTTGAAGGGGGGCTCGCAATCAAACGCGCAAAAACAGTTTATGTACTGGACTGGACTGTAGTATTTATTATGAATTTTCCACATAAAACAGCATAAAGAACTCACAGTAGGGAAAGGACATCAAAGATGGCCGCCGGCCCCAAACACGTGGCCTGAGCGGCATGACATCACACCCTGGCTCCTCTCTAACGCGTTTCGTGCACTAGCACGTTATCAAACATTTTACTCTTCTACAATGATGAAATTAGTCAACATTGCCCACACTGCAGTTGATTTACTAAAGGCAAATAGACTGTGCACTCTACAGTTGCTCCAGAGATTAGTAAATGAGGTAAAGCTTTCCTTTTTGCCAAGAATACAAAATCATATGCAAGGCAAAAAAAACCAGCATTTTTGCTTGCACATGATTGGATGGTTGAAGTCAGCAGAGCGTCTGCTCATTTGCTAAGGTCTGGTGCAACTGAAAATATATAAGTAAATGCGAGCGCAAACAGAGCAAGCAGCTGACATAAACGGTGAACCTCTAGACCTCCAGATAATAAAGTGCAATGAATATGCAGCACTAAAATATGATATAGAACAATGATGTAAAATAATAGAAGACAATCACTAAAGGGAAGTAAGCTCTCTTGCAGCGCATATGTAGTGGTGACGTGATAAATCGTCTTTATATGACGTGTCAAAAGACGGGGAAAATATACAAAGTCAATATATATTGTGACAACAGTGCATCATACGTGGAAAGTGCAAAACGAGTCCAGAAGCAATAGCAATCCGTGCTGGTGAATTCTATGACCAGGGCCAGTAAAATTATGCATTTACCAGAAGCGCATAAAGTGTGCGCATGTATATATATATAGTGGGGCAAAAAAAAATTTTAGTCAGCCACCAATTGTGCAAGTTCTCCCATTTAAAAAGATGAGAGAGGCCTGTAATTGGCATCATAGGCAGACCTCAACTATGAGAGATAAAATGAGAAACAAAATCCAGACAATCTCATTGGCTGATATGGAAAGAATTTATTTGCAAATTATGGTGGAAAATAAGTATTTGGTCACCTACAAACAAGCAAGATTTCTGGCTCTCACAGACCTGTACCTTCTTCTTTAAGAGGCTCCTCTGTCCTGCACTCATTACCTGTATCAATGGCACCTGTTTGAACTTGTTATCAGTATAAAAGACACCTGTCCACAACCTCAAACAGTCACACTCCAAACTCCACTATGGTGAAGACCAAAGAGCTGTCGAAGGACACCAGAAACAAAATTGTAGACCTGCACCAGGCTGGGAAGACTGAATCTGCAATAGGCAAGCAGCTTGGTGTGAACAAATCAACTGTGGGAGCAATAATTAGAAAATGGAAGACATACAAGACCACTGATAATCTGCCTCGATCTGGGGCTCCACGCAAGATCTCACCCCCGTGGGGTCAAAATGATCACAAGAACGGTGAGCAAAAATCCCAGGACCACACGGGGGGACCTAGTGAATGACCTGCAGGGAGCTGGGATTAACGTAACAAAGGCTACCAACAGTAACACACTACGCCGCCAGGGACTCAGATCCTGCAGTGCCAGACGTGTCCCCCTGCTTAAGCCAGTACATGTCCGGGCCCGTCTGAAGTTTGCTAGAGAGCATTTGGATGATCCAGAAGAGGATTGGAAGAATGTCATATGGTCAGATGAAACCAAAATAGAACTGTTTGGTAGAAACACAACTCGTCGTGTTTGGAGGAGAGAGAATGCCGAGTTGCATCCAAAGAACACCATACCTACTGTGAAGCATGGGGGTGGCAACATCATGCTTTGGGGCTGTTTCTCCGCAAAGGGACCAGGACGACTGATCCATGTACAGGACAGAATGAATGGGGCCATGTATCGGGAGATTTTGAGTGCAAACCTCCTTCCATCAGCAAGGGCATTGAAGATGAAACGTGGCTGGGTCTTCCAACATGACAATGATTCCAAACATACCGCCCGGGCAACGAAGGAGTGGCTTCGCAAGAAGCATTTCAAGGTCCTGGAGTGGCCTAGCCAGTCTCCAGATCTCAACCCCATAGAAAACCTTTGGAGGGAGTTGAAAGTCTGTGTTGCCCAGCGACAGCCCCAAAACATCACTGCTCTAGAGGAGATCTGCATGGAGGATGGGCCAACATACCAGCAACAGTGTGTGCCAACCTTGTAAAGACTTACAGGAAACGTTTGACCTCTGTCATTGCCAACAAAGGATATATAACAAAGTATTGACATGAACTTTTCATATTGACCAAATACTTATTTTCCACCATAATTTGCAAATAAATTCTTTCCAAATCAGCCAATGTGATTGTCTGGATTTGTTTTCTCATTTTGTCTCTCATAGTTGAGGTCTACCTATGATGCCAATTACAGGCCTCTCTCATCTTTGTAAGTGGGAGAACTTGCACAATTGGTGGATGACTAAATACTTTTTTGCCCCACTGTATGTACATGTGTCTGTGCGTGTGTATTTCTGTGTATGTACATGTATCTGTGTGTATGCGTGTCTGTATGTGCCCGTGAGTGTATACATGTGTCTCTGTGCGTGTGTGTACATGTTTCTGTGTGTATGCGTGTCTGTATGTGCCTGTGTGTATATACATGTGTGTGTGTACATGTGTCTGTGTACATGTGTCTCTGTGTGTGTGTACATGTGTCTGTGTGTGTACATGTCTGTGTGTGTGTGTGTGTGTGTATGTGTGTACATGTCTGTGTGTGTACATGTCTGTGTGTACATGTATCTCTGTGTGTGTACACGTGTCTCTGTGTGTGTGTGTACATGTGTCTCTGTGTGTGTACACATGTGTCTCTGTGTGTGTACACGTGTGTCTCTGTGTGTGTGTGTGTGTGTGTACACATGTGTCTCTGTGTGTGTGTGTACATGTCTGTGTGTACATGTATCTCTGTGTATGTACACGTGTCTCTGTGTGTGTGTGTACATGTGTCTCTGTGTGTGTACACATGTGTCTCTGTGTGTGTACACGTGTGTCTCTGTGTGTGTGTGTGTGTACACATGTGTCTCTGTGTGTGTGTGTACAGGTGTCTCTGTTTGTTGGTGGCGAGTAACTCTAAGGCCTGGCTAGTAGCTCAGGACTTGGAATTCTAAGCCCTGGGTTAAGGAATATCATATTAAAGGAATCATTTTTTTTTTACTATATGAATACAGGAGATCAAACCAATACAATTCATTTCCAGGACCGGATAGCCAGGCCTCGCTCTGGAGGGAATACAGTCGGAATCCACTGGTGGAATGTATAGTTCAGAACTGGAGTCTATATTTAGGGGTAATAAGTATTTCTATCCTGTACATGCAAGAAGTACTGCTGTGGATACATTTCAGGGTCTGGTAGAGAGAGAACTTCTCAGCCGGAGGGAGGAGGTCTCACACTGGATCTGCCCATGTCAGAGACTATTTGAGTAAAGCGCAGAGAGAAAAGCCTTTAATGGGTTAAAATCCCATCAGGATATAGTTATACGTGCTGCTGACCAGGGCGGAGCTGGTGATTCTCGCTTCAGATGACTATAAATTGGAAGCTTTACGCCAACGTAATGATACTTCTACATACCAGGCTCTGGAATCGGATCCCAAATCGGCTTTTAAACAACAGCAGCTGTCACATTTGCTAGATATTGGACTGTCCCCTAAAACAGCAGAATTTTTGATGGGCGACTGTCCAGTAGTCACAGCTTTTCACCATCTACCCAAGCAGGACACCCCAATTAGATGAGATGAGACTTTACAATGTATACTTTTTTCATATACATTTTTGACTTCATGAATTTGCATATTCTTATAATATTGCGTCTCCCTGTTTTTCTCATCTCTATTTTTTATAGGTACCAGCTTTTTTGCAAGGGCATCTGTTTTTGGATTTTTGGCATATAATAGAAGAACGCCTGGCACATGAAATGTGTGTATTTTTCTATTACAATGAAGGAAATAAGTATTTCATCCCCTGCTGATTTTGAATGTTTGCCCACTCATAAAGAAATGATCGGTCTAAAAATCAAATGTTCGGTGTATTGTAACACCGAGAGGCAGAACAGCAACAAAAAATTCAGCAGAAACGCATGTCTAACAAATGATGACTGATTTGCATGTTCATGAGGGAAATAAGTATTTGATCCCCTATCTTTCATACAGGTAACAAGCTGAGATTAGAAGCAGTCTCTTAAAGGGAGTGCTGTAATCGCTGTATGTGATTTGTAATTTTTCACTACCAAATCTCCATTGTGATATTTATTCTCACACATGCTCCTCTTTTTGATGGAGTGTGTGTGTATGTATGTATGTATGTATGTATGTATGTATGTATGTATTGTGTTATATATATATATATATATATATATATATATATATATATATATATATATACATACATATACATACATACACATACATACACACACACATACACACACACACACACACACACACACACACACATGTATACACACACACACCTCCCGGCCCTTTAAGGGTTTCAGAAGCTGGGAGGCAGGGTTTTAGGGTCATGTGACCGCCGTGATTTACTGTCACATGATCGGGAAAGGTCCCGATCACAAGAAGAGATCGGGTCCTTTCCGTGAGTGCCGGACATGTGTGCTGGGAGCGCGAGGGACACGCGCTCTCAGCACGTTTTTCTTAATTTCACGCAAATGTGCGGCCCAGATGCCGGGAGGTGTGCGGCGGCGCCGCCGCCAAGAGGTTAAGCACTATGCTGTGATCAAAGCTGTTTGCCGAAACGCGTCGGCGTGCTTTTATGTCACTCCTGTGTAATCAATAAAGTCTTCATATGGATTTCGGAGTTGCCGGCTCTTCCTATTTTTCCATATTTGTATCCAGTGTTGGGAAGACACTTTAGAGCCTTAGCACCTGCGTTTGGATTCCACTACTAAATTCAAGGTGTGTTCCCTGTCCTGAGCGCTGCTCTTTGCTGCCTTGTCTCTTTGGGGAGACAATGCTGTTAGAAGGAAGTTTAACCTGTTTGCGCCGTCTGCACGCAAATGTGCGGCCTCCCGGGGTCTGGACCTTGACACCGAGCGGCCGCACATTTGCGTGCAATTAAGAAAAACATATGTGCTGAGAGCGCGCGTCCTGCGCGCTTCCAGCACACATGTTAAGTACTCACGGAAAGGTCCCGATCTCCTCTTTAGATTGGGACCTTTCCTAATCATGTGACCGCAAATCACAGCGGTCACATGACCCTTAAACCCCGTCTCCTGGCTTCTGAAACCCTTAAAGGGCCGGGAGGCGCTGGCGCCAAGGGATTAAATAGAGACTGAAGAATCACTTTAAGGACTGATTTTTGGAAATAGTTATTTTGTAGAAGAAGAAACCATGGGTCTAGAAGAATAGAGTAGTCTGAATTGTGAAACTGAACCACTGACCCAGAAATCTGACAATTTTTGAACCAGAAAATATGGAGCAGTGAACCCTACCCCCGTCCAAAGTCTGATCAATTTTTTATTGAAATCTGGGTCTTCTGCCCACTTTCTGTCTCTTTGATGAAGGTGATACAGAATAGGAAATGAGGAGTAATCCCACAATGTAGGCAGAGATGGTATTTAAAACCTGCCAGTGGTTCTCTAAAAAAAAAAAAAAAAAACAAAACGAAGAAAAATAATTTGGATGTTGCTGGGCTAAAACATGCATTTGCTACAAATCATGAAACACAACTGTAACGGAACCGACTCCAGTCTGCGCATGGGTACTTCCGTTAGAATACCGCTTCCCCATCCGAACACTGACAACAGACACCACAGCCGTCCAAACAAGACTAGACAACACCAGTCTGTCTGAACATGGAACTCTTTATTTGAAACTCGAACTGGGTTTTTATACACTCAGAGGGAAATCCCCCCTACCTGCATAATGACACAGGGCGGGCGGGGCAATCTACACTTAGCAACAAGAGACACACCAACAGACAGTCCCATCAGGAGGGAGGGCTGCTGGAGACAACCCCCACTAAGCTAATACACATAAACACATACATCCCATAATAGTTTGCTCCCAAGCAAGACACACAATAGAACAATGGGATGTAACCACATGGCATTAAAACAATCCACAACCCCCCCAACCCCAATATTAGAACAGATCACCCTGTACCCTTAACAGGCACAGGGTGACTTACACATAATAGGGATATGGGAAGCTGGGACAGGGGTCTCCCCACCTCTCCAAAGTGAGCTAGTGTCCATGGGCCCCCCCACCCAAAGTGACTCAGACTGGTAGAAGGAGGATCAGTGCCAGCACCCAATCCTATGTGACAGATATCCATATGCCTACAGGGAGCAGACTGACAGGAGGGAGGAGCAGAGTGCAGCTCCTTCTCTGTCCAATCAGCTGGCAGAATGTGGATTTATTGACTAGTCCATAAGGTTTTTGCGGTGAAGCTCACTGCCTGGATCACACAATCCTACCTGCTTGCCCGGAGTTCAGCTTTAGGCCGACAGAAGAGTCACACTGAATACAACATTGTGAAAATGCTTTGCCATCGCATTAAAAATATCCAAAGCTCACCTCTGGATCATTGACTTCTAGAGGCTCCAGTACCATCTGGTTATGAGAGGCCCATAGATCTGTGTGCCCGCCATTAATCACAGGGGTTTCGGCCATCTTCCCGTCTCACGCCCTGAAAACAAATGAAAAATATTTTTATCTGTTCCATCCCAAACATCGACATCAAGTATAAATCCACCAATGTGCACACCACAGTTTTTATACGTCAGGTAGCTGAGTTATAGCTCACTATGGACCGTGTTAAGAACTCTGGTCTAAATGGTAAGCTTTGCACAGAGGACAATAAAGGAACTCATCACTAAATATTCATATATCAGTTTATTTTTGTATTTCCTAGCTATAGGGGTGCATTATGCCAATAATCAAATTTTTAAACCCCCAAAAGATTTATCATTTGGGGATCCAGGTCTGTGTATCAGCTAGATCTGTGGTCTCCAAACTGTGGCCCGGGGGGCAGATGAGGGCCCTTTGCTTGCTTTTATCCGGCCCTTGGGGCACCATTTCATCCACTGATACCAACAATGAGGCATAATTCCTCCCAATGACACCAACTATGGAGCACAGTTTCATCCCACTAACGCAAACAATGCATCGCAATTCTTCCCACTGACATAAAAAAATGGGGCACTATCCTTACCACTGACACCAAAGATGGGGCACTGCCTATTCTCACTGACGTCAGAATGTTTTCTACTCCCAATGGCCACAGTTCGGCCCCCCTAAAGTCTGAAGGACAGTGAACTGTACCTTTGTTTAGAAAGTTTGGAGACCCCTGAGCTAGGTGAAGGACTCAGAGAGCATACCTATATACAAAAACTTGGGAAAGGGACATGCTCACTTAAAGTGTTACTAAACCCTGGACCCTGCATTCACTAAATCCGCTCTCCCGGGACCCTGCATTCACTTTATGACTCTCCTCGGTCCCCGCATTCACTATATCCGGTCTCCCGGGACCCCGGCATTCACTATATCCGGTCTCCCCGAACCCAGCATTCACTATATCCGCTCTCCCGGAACCCCGCATTCACTTTATCCGCTCTCCCCCGGTCCCCGCATTCACTAGATCCGGTCTCCCCCGGACCCCCCGCATTCACTAGATCCGGTCTCCCCGGACCCCGCATTCACTATATCCGGTCTCCCCCGGGACCCCGCATTCACTAGATCCGGTCTCCAGGGACCCCGCATTCACTAGATCCGGTCTCCCGGGACCCCGCATTCACTAGATCCGGTCTCCCGGGGACCCCGCATTCACACTAGATCCGGTCTCCCGGGACCCCGCATTCACTAGATCCGGTCTCCCGGGACCCCGCATTCACTAGATCCGGTCTCCCCGGGACCCCGCATTCACTATATCCGGTCTCCCCGGACCCCGCATTCACTATATCCGGTCTCCCCGGACCCCGCATTCACTATATCCGGTCTCCCCGGACCCCGCATTCACTATATCCGGTCTCCCGGGACCCCGCATTCACTATATCCGGTCTCCCGGGACCCCGCATTCACTATATCCGGTCTCCCGGGACCCCGCATTCACTATATCCGGTCTCCCGGGACCCCGCATTCACTATATATCCGGTCTCCCGGGACCCCGCATTCACTATATCCGGTCTCCCCCGGACCCCGCATTCACTATATCCGGTCTCCCGGGACCCCGCATTCACTATATCCGGTCTCCCCCGGACCCCGCATTCACTATATCCGGTCTCCCCCGGACCCCGCATTCACTATATCCGGTCTCCCCGGACCCCGCATTCACTATATCCGGTCTCCCCCCGACCCCGCATTCACTATATCCGGTCTCCCCGGACCCCGCATTCACTATATCCGCTCTCCCCGGACCCCGCATTCACTATATCCGCTCTCCCCGGACCCCCCCGCATTCACTATATCCGCTCTCTCCCGGACCCCGCATTCACTATATCTGGTCTCCCCCCGACCCCGCATTCACTATGTCCGCTCTCCCCGGACCCCGCATTCACTATATCCGCTCTCCCCGGACCCCGCATTCACTATGTCCGGTCTCCCCGGACCCCGCATTCACTATATCCGCTCTCCCCGGACCCCGCATTCACTATATCTGGTCTCCCATAGTACACACAACATGGAAATACAATTATTTTAGGAAATATAAACTCATAAATATCTTTTCTCGTTAGCAATTAGAGCAGTCTTGTGACTTCTATCATTGTCCAGCAGAGCGCTTGTAGAAGGAGTTTTTCTTTCTGCTCTGCTTGTCCTATGAGGCTGGATAACCTCTGACCCTCTGACAGGAAAGTGCGGATCACATGCACCCTCCCAAGAAAAAAAAAAAAAAAACCTCTATAGCAATACAAAAACGGAGCATGTGCAGCTTGCCCCCAAGGCTCTGTTCTATCAGCAGATGGATTGGGGACAGCAGAAAAAAGGAGAGGATCAGAGAAGTCAGGATCAAACATCCTTTACAACAATGCAGAGGATTAACCCCTTAGGTTCCACAGTGAGTATAACCAGCATGCTTTACTGCATCTACAGACTGATTGTACTGTTGGGGGTTTAAAGTACTCTATACCCTTTCATATACCCAGTGAAGTGACTGGCCTCAGGTTATACACAGAGATTAGCCGATTCCCAACCACACTATAGCCGAAGGATGGCTACAGCGCAGTTGTGTAATCCTGGGACAAAAATCCATGGACGTCATTCCAAAACACACCCCCCGGCTCCGCCAGTAATTGCTGTGTCATTGGACACGGCTGATCACGTGGTAAAAGGCCGCTATGATCATCCTTTTACCTTATCATGTGATCAGATGTGTCCGTAGATCACCGGTGCACACTGCCGACGCCCTCCCTCCCAGAATTGGACAACCGTCATTCGGCTATACCGCAGATGGCAAGTGGTTAAAGGATAAGTTCATCTTTCTGAGCATGTTATATGTTACATACGTTTTTCAGTGTAAGATGCTCCAGAAACCTGCCCCCACACACCGATCCCCCATCTGTGACAGCGGGCGGGGGACCCTCTCCCTGCACCCACTGTCACGTTTTGACAGTATCGTGGTCTCCGCCCACACAGCGACCTCATTCATTTACACTGATCTGTGAATGAGAGAACTACAAGTACCATCAGCCACCGTGAAATGAGGGGATGCTGATGAGCGTAGTTCATCATTCACAAGCCTGTATGGAGGAATGTGCTGAAAGCTTTGCAGAAGCCTGACATCGCACCCCTGATCCACCCCTGTACTGTCCATGGGTGCAATGCTTTGCAAGCTCCTCAGGGAAAAATAATAAAATCGCTAAAATATGTGCATTTATTTTGTTTTTTTTTCACAAAAAGTGAACTTAGCCTTTAAATTGCCATGCAATGCAACGCTCCTACAGATCTGCTGACTGGATGTGTCCTTTCTAAGCCAAATTGGACCATCTGTGTGAGATCACGTAACAGTCACAAGTTCTGCCCAATTATCCGAAACTTATTTGACTAAACCGGGGGGGGAAGGGCACGTATTTTCTTTTTAGAAGAATCGTTCTGCTTTCTTCAGGATGAAACAAATGGAGACGGAACAAAGATGACATACAGTATGCAGGTTTTGGGGCACAGTTTGTTGGGGTGTTGCTGGTAACAGGGTGACACAAGGCTAGGTTCACAATTGTGTGATGAAGGAACGTAACTGGACTAGCCCTGCACCATAGGCTGTGACATCACCACACACAACCTATGACATCATGATTCATCACTGACCGTGACAACAACACAACCCAACAGGGCCTTTCTGTCCAGTCTCAGATATACCAAATGCTGTGTGAGACTGCCACTCACAATCATCGACATCTCCATCCAACGGGACGACTCTACTACATAGACTGTGTGACGTCACCACACACAATCATCACATCTCCATCCAACGGGACGACTCTACTACATAGACTGTGTGACGTCACCACAGACAATCATCGACATCTCCATCCAACGGGAGACTCTACTAGACTGTGTGACGTCACCACACCCAATCATCGACATCTCCATCCAACGGGACGACTCTACTACATAGACTGTGTGACGTCACCACACACAATCATCGACATCTCTATCCAACGGGATGACTCTACTACATAGACTGTGTGACGTCACCACACACAATCATTGACACTCTATCCAACGGGACGACTCTACTGACTAGACTGTGTGACGTCACCACACACAATCATCGACATCTCCATCCAATGGGACAACTCTACTACACAGACTGTGTGACATCACCACACACAATCATCGACATCTCTATCCAACGGGACGACTCTACTACATAGACTGTGTGACGTCACTACACACAATCATCGACATCTCTATCCAACGGGACGACTCTACTACAGAATGTGTGACATCACCACACACAATCCTCGACATCTTTATCCAACGGGACGACTCTACTAGACTGTGTGACGTCACCACACACAATCATCGACATCTCTATCCAACGGGACGACTCTACTACATAGACTGTGTGACGTCACCACAGACAATCAACATCTCCATCCAACGGGACGACTCTACTAGATTGTGTGACGTCACCACACCCAATCATCGACATCTCCATCCAACGGGACGACTCTACTAGACTGTGTGACGTCACCACACACAAATCATCGACATCTCCATCCAACGGGACGACTCTACTACATAGACTGTGTGACGTCACCACACACAATCATCGACATCTCCATCCAACGGGAACTCTACTAGGTATGACGTCACCACACACAATCATACTATCCTAGACTGACTGTATGACGTCACCACACACAATCCTCGACATCTCTCAGGAAAGGTGCATACAGGTTCACAAATCTGAGGAACTCTGCCTGTGGCTGAATTGCGGGTGGACGCACACACACACACAATTGCACATGTGCAAACGCATGCTGATTGGCTCCAGGTGGGGCTATTTAGGATGCACTAGTCCACTGTGTCATTGCGGTTTGCTCTCGTACACTCCGACATCTCGATACAAATGGATTGCTCTACGACAAGGCCACACACAGCCCGTAATGTTGATATCTGACCAGTCTGTTCCAGGGTGGATTTGATTCAAATCAAACTGATTTAAATCACGG